ATTTCATAATGATGTAACAAAAGTTAAAAATAGACCAAGAAAAGATCTAGGTTTTTCCTCTTTTCAACATATTTAATCAAAGACTTCAGGAATTGAGGCTTTGTCTATTCGTATTGTCAGTTTTGACTTAATGGCGCAGTTTCTAAGCAAATAGTTTCATTATTTGAATAACAGTAATTCTTCCGAATTTTGGTTTACGTCTCCACCAAGGTCTTTTTACATTCACCCTGGACGTAAGGTATGCAGGTCGTAAAAACCCTAGGCAGAATAACATGATTCGTATGTCGTGCCGACTCCACACAGAGTAAGGGCACCTCTGTTTTTCTAGACATTTTCGTTTTTCAGAATTATCAAGCGCAGAAACTATTCAAAAACTTTGTGCCTATCTCACGGGGGCTTTTTCTCACATTATTTCGATTTACCACTTCTCGCGTTAAATGAGCGAAACTCGAATTGTGTACTTGATCCCAGGGGCGTGTTGGGTCGACCCAATTTTGAGCTGGATCGTGACGATCGTGAATTCTCGATAGGTTCCGTTCCGCGTTAACTCACGCTCACTTTCTTCGCGACCCGCATGCTGAGGCGCGCTGACCAGAATCGATAATTGCACCGCGTAACCTGACATAAAAGCGGTCGTACGTGATCACTTTCTTCGTAAATAGAGTTTATATAACTGTCAGCAACAATATTATGCAGCATTCATTCCATGTTCCATATTACGAATTGGTGATATCGTGTTATTCTGAGATTTTCTTAATGGGACCGAATTTGGGTCATGGAATTATCATAGTGGACAGCAGAACTACGAGTATCCCCTTAACATTATCTAACTGCACTTGAAAAGATTAGATAATAATAGTAACAGTATTTTTTACTATTTTATTACTTTGGTGCGGCAAAGTTTTAATAAATATGCATAGATATGCATGCTAACAATGAGTTCTTTAATTAAATGGGCAATTTCATAGTATGTTTTTATTAAGTGAAACTAATGACTATTTTACTATCGACATTTTATTTAATAAACAAAAGATATTATACTTGAAATATGTTAACGTTATATCTTATACCTTTAAACGAGCAATTCTTGTATCTCGGAAACGGCTACAGCGATTCGGGGGTGAAAAATCGATCTGGCTAGGTTTCGTTTTTAGAAAATGTCGTTTTATCTCAGTTTTTAGGGAATGAAAAATATTATTCTAATACGACGGTAAATTTCACCAAAAAAATGTTATAATAGCTCGGTCGGTAATCGGGCGCCCACGAAACATAAGGCCTTGGTTCGTATCACGATCATTTACACACTTACTTTTTTTACTTTTTTTTCGATTCCAGATCAAGCAATGATCTTTATTTTTTATTTTTTATTTTTTGTCGATCCAGATGATTTTGATATTTTTCCTTTTTTTTTTTAAAGTTCTTTCTTTTGTGAAAAACACCAGTTCATATTTTCTTATTATTACGTCGGTAAGATCGAAAAATACTATGCATATTTCATTACTCAGTAATTTGTATCTAAATGTAATTTCCAAAATACACGATTTACCAAAAATAAAATCAAACCGAGCAAAGCTCGGTCCTCCAGGTACTAGTAATCATTATGTGTGTATTTAACGGACATCATTTTAACAACTTCTATTAAAAAGCTTGTATATTTCCCAGACATATTTGAGAAGGGTCGGAAATGAAAACTGCGGGAAATCGAAGGGGACACATCGGTACTGATGAGATTCGTTTGTCATTGCGGAAATAGGGAATCTTTAAGTGCGTATCTAATCGATACCCACTGGGATACTTTCAATACTTACGTTTTGTTTGTTATTTTTTTGCTTTTCAATTTCTTTTCTTACAGCGTATATTTGTTACAGAGTGTCGCATACGTAAAGAGTTTTTTTTATTATTTTACTTGAATGATTTAGTAACTTCTAAAATTCAAAGAAGTGGATCTTAGTTTTGCTTTGTAGTGTAAGTAATCAGTGGTTTTATTTTGTTGCAAAAAGAAATGTTATTTTTATGTAAATTAATTACTTATAAGTAGAATTGGCTAAATCAAACCGCTTTACAAAAATAAAAGTGTTGTTAGAATCATATTAATTGTTAATTATGGAACTACAATACCAATTCATGTTTTTCAACATCAATAAAAACTGTACCTTCATTTAAATGCTATACAATTAATCGAACACCAATAGTAATCCCATTATCTTGTTACTTTAACTACAGTCGTAACAGCGTACAAATGATTGTCTCTCCGTGAAAAACATCTCTTTAGGTTCACCTTCATTCCTCTGTCGAGTACAGATTATAAAATTCTTCGTTATTATCTTTTTTTTAATGGGATAAGGTGGTAAGCGAGCTGGTGGTTCACCTGATGTTAAGTGATAGCCGCCGCCCATTGACATTTTCGACAGATTTCGACATTTCGCAGTTGAGTTGCCACCTTCTATAAATTGGGTCCCAGCTACCTCACTCGCCAGATCAAACGCAGAAGTATAACACTTCCATTTCACGCCGGTCTTCTGTGGTACTTACCCGGTTGGTCCTGCCCCTCTGTGCAAATCCGAAGCTGTTGCATGGCACTATCAAATTAATCTATAACGATTGTCGACTGTGTTAATCTTGCGCTCCGTAAATTATTTAGTGCGTTGTGGAGTCGGCCGCTGAATGTGTAACTTAGGCGAGCGGCATGTGAACTTTCGTCATGATTAACTATGTAATGTTTGAGTTGGGTTAGCGGGGTGCGGCTGGTTTAAGTCGCCGTACGCTTTTATGACGATTAATAGGCGCAGTTACCATAACGGTAGATCAATCTGTTACTGAGATAGGTTAATGTTCGTCGGATCTATCAAAGTAATGAGGATCTTTTTTATGTTTTATTTTTTATCCTAAACCGGCTAGTGCTCGACCACTATCTCACCTGATAGTTAGTGACATGTAATAATAGACGACAGATTCACTTGCTCAGTAACAGTCTAGTTATGTAAAAAATATGCGGGTAAAATTTTGACGATGCGCGCGCAAACCAAAAGTCGAAATGCGACATCATGAAGTTGGTTGCAAAGCGACCAAGTTTGACTAACTTCACGGTACTATCATGGAAACCAATAACAACTTTATGAAATTAATCTATAATTCCAAGTCATTCAATTAAATCGTTTTTATAGCATTTAGACTTTTTAACAAACAGAGAGTACTGGCACACGGGATAATATTTTTAGTGACTTTTCTTTTGTTACGCTAAAGACGTACGTAAGCACTCACACGTTTTTTTTCATCTAAGAAATACTATTAACTTGCTAATATACGAAGTGTGGCCAAAAGCTAATAATGGTTATTTGTTACATGTATTAAAATGTCAGCATCTCGTAATTTAGTAATAAAATTTTGACATAGCCACGCAGCAGTATTTCGCATAAAAAAAGACTAAGTTTGATAACACTAGTCTGCGTGTTTGAATTTGAATTACTGCTTCCATCTTTTAATTTTCGGTGGTTAGCTTTTTCGAAAGAGTACAGATAATATACCTAACAAATATTGATGTAGATTATTTTTACTACTGAATTATAATGTTTTATCACATTTGATACTAAGAAATTTATGGCAACAATTTTTATGGATATGATTACAAAAGAAATGGAGTATGCCATATAATAACTATATCGTGAAGATTAAAATTACGCTATGAAATACGATTGTGATAGCTATTTCGAACTGTATCGAATTGTATGGAAATAAAAAAATCTAATTTCAATAGGGAAGATGTTTGAGATCCATAACTAATAAAATTTAATCTCAATTCTAATGAATTGTTCCATAATTCTAATGAATTGAGATTAAATTTTATTAGTTACACAGTAAAACTTGAAGATACTTTAAGATGGCAATGCATAGATAGGACAAAACAAATTATTAAAAAAGCTGATCGTGGCCTGGATACTCAAGAAAAGCGCAAAAACGTAAAAAGTAAAAGTAAAATCAAAATTAATTGCAATAAAATGCGAATAAAAAACAATATAGTATACACACCAATCATCGTGGGCCTTGGTTACTTCACTCACCAGACAAAACTTAGAAAGTATAAGACTTCTACTTCTCGCCAATCTTCCGTGAGGCGATGATACTTCTCCAGCGATCCTGCTAAATCATGCAATAGTAATAGTTGCATGGCCCTACCACATTAAGAAACCTACATAGTGCGTTATAAAAGCGATTTCACTGGTTCAAAAGAGAACATGTTAATTATGACAGCATAAGAGCTTGTTAATGATAAAGATAATGAAATATGTACTATTCCTTACACAATTGAAAAATTTGATGTTATTTATCCGTATTATGAAATACTAGCTGTTGCCCGCGATTACGTCTGCGTAGATATGTTGAAGGCGTAACCTTCAGACAGAAAGACATATATTCATAAAATATGTAAACTATAGCCTTTGTTTTATTCTGATGTGTAAGCTATATTATTGTAAAGTTTCATGAGAATCCATTCAGTAGTATTTGCGTGAAAGAGTAACAAACATTAGTAAGGATTTTTGTGAACAGTGTTTGATAATTAATCTAGAAAGACAGCATAATATTTGGTCATGGAGTAACTTAGACCTGGAGTCAATTAAAGCGAATAGCACGACCAGCGAGAGGTCAGACTTAACAATGGGAGAAAAAAGCTAGGAGTGGATGATGGTGATAAATTAATAACAATAGTAAAACCTTTAATAAAAATAACCTTTAATTATAAACAGTTTTTTATGACAGCGTAAAATTATAAATTTAATTTAATTGCTTTACTGCGCTTACATTACCATAAACTTAAAAAAAAAATGTATGGACCACCAATACTTTTTTTCAGTACCCTTTTGACGAAATTTTCCAAAGTGCCCGCTAAATTAAGTACGTGTTTGGGTTATCTAAACATAGCAAGTGTGTACATAATTTGGTCACGCGCTTTAATAAATGAAGGGCCAGGCTTACGAGTATGTATGTACAGTTTTAACTTCAGTATGGTTATCAAATGTAAGTAAGGAAAGGCTCTCGGCAGAACACATGTAACATTTTTATAAATAATCATATAAAATCTTTCATTTCTTTTTTTAGTAACTGATAGGAAATTTCAAAAAGAATCTTTCAACAAATCAGAATGAAAATTTAAACTTTAATATTTTTCAATCATTGGTGTAATATTTATATGTTTGGGTTCTGTTCGTGAAATGCATTCATTTATTTAAACTTATGATAATCAAGAAACGTTGAAATTAGGCGATAAGATTAAGTTGTTTCTCATAATTGACAAAAGGACCTTGTCCAGGCTCATATTTCAAAAATTGGTAATACATACAATACCCCGAACATAAGCGATAGGTAGGACGGGCGCGCTATCACGTTAAGTTAGTTAGTGTAAGTCAAATTTACATAAGTCGTGGTACAAAATCAAAATCAAAATCAAAATCAAAAATATATTTATTCACATTGACGCTTGCGCGTTCTTATGAAATGTCAAAAATTTTACATAAAAATTAATACGTTCGTAAGTTACCACCGGTTCGGAAAGCAGTTTCTGTTGAGAAGAAACCGGCAAGAAACTCAACAGTTGCTCTTTTTTAAAACGATTAGTTTACAATATAATAGAACAAGTATGTCATTTTACAATTTACAATTTTGCATGTAAATACATATATACAAAGTATCTTTAATTGGGACCGGAGACTAAATAAAACAATAAACAGATAATATGACAAATTATATTATTATATTATTATAAACTGTATAAACACAATCCGAAGTTATTTTAATGTAGAAGGTTTCATAAAATCTAACAAAGTCGTTTGACGAGTCAATGATTTACGGGAGAAACCGTAATATCCTCCTAGCATGCTAGTAAATGTTTTTATTCCTTGTTTTGTAACATAAACGTGCTCTTTGTTGGATTCCACGATTTCCAAAATTGTGAACTTTTTTTCAATTGAATTGAGCTACCTTGACTACCTTGACTGCGCGGCGATCAAACAAAAGACGAATAGACGAGAAAATTAAAAAACCTTGTAACTCCGAATTCACGTATGTCGAATTAGCGTATTGAACCGGGGTGTCGGGTTATTACTGTAATAGCACTTAAAAAGGGTATACTCACCCATTGGAACGTCTTTGAGACTATAAAAAATATTGGTTTGCACTCGACGGGGTATGAAATACGGAAAAAGTAGTGTCACCATCATTCACGATTGTCTTCACCATCTTAAAAATTTACTGCTCTTTAGAACTAAACTTTTGCTTGTTCAATTCTTAATTCAACCCCGACCTGCACAAATTTGGTCGTGATAAGTAGGAGCAATTTTATTAGGCTCATCTCCGTTTACGTAAATATGACCATAGCATATTCTTAGCATTCTTTGCTTGACTGACTTTCTGTTCATAAATTGTACTGTTATTGTATTCGGTATTATTTAATTCCATGTCATAAGAACACTGCTCTATTCTTGATAGATTATTTCGGTCCACACCCAACTTAATATTCTCATTAATCCATTTGACAGGTGATTAGTCAACTTCTACGACCATCAGTGTTTCAGAAATTACCGGCCGTAAGATAGTATCAGTTAAGGATATAAATAAAAAGAGATTCGTTAATCAAATCTTCTTCATCATCATCATTTCAGCCTGTTTGAGTCCACTGCTGAACATAGGCCTCCCCCATAGACTGCCTCGAAGTACGATCCTGAGCCACCTGCATCCATCGACTTTCGGCACATTTGCACAGGTCGTGACTCCATCTAGTGGGGGGTCGTCCTACACTGCGATGGCTAGTACGAGTCTGCCACTCGAAATTAAATAAAATCGTCTTAAGTTATGTGTATTCTGCCAAAATTGTAAATAGTGCGAAGATGTCAAATTTTATTTGCTTTTTTTAGGTGTAAAGAGCAGTGGAAATGGCTCAGGATAACACGATGGAGATGGGCACCAGCGACCAGGTATATATTTTACCCAATTCTTTACTTTGTGGGCTATTTCATTATTCTCTGTTTTCATTCGTTCTACTTATGACTTTTAAAAATAGATTTTCAACTCTCAAACTTGTGTCTGTTTGTGTGTTCCTTGTCTATGTGATCGTACCGTTCATTTCATTGAGCTGAAGATTAATTGTACCGTTTAAGCACATTACACGTGCGCGTGTTGCAGTGTATAATTTATGTTTGCAGATTATTTATCACATTTAACTAAAATTTCGTATTTAAATAATTATTTTAATCTTTCATTCAGTTCTTCCGATGATTTTTAATATTTAAGTCAGTATTTTATAAATTACATTTAAAACAGTTGAGAAGTTTTTTTGAGAATTGTACGTCTTTAAATCGTTCTTTTAATTAGTTTATAAATGAATTTGGATAAGCTTAGCTTAAAAAAAAATATCTCGTTGTGTTGTATTAGCTGTAGAGTATGCAATTTTGACAAATTTCACTATAACAAATCATTTACTGAAATAAACAATTATATTTAAACAATTTATAGATTATAGCACGTGTAGTGCTATAATCTATAAATTGCTTTGAGATTTCAAATAACCTTGACAGTTCTTCTTATAAACATCGAACAAAAAGTTACAAACCGTTTATAGTTGAGGCAGCCGCCAGTAGTAAAGCATATTTAACAGATATTCGTTACGAGTTCGTTCTATTAAAGTAAGAAATCCGCAATTCCTTAGCGCATTTTCTTTTGTATAGTTATTTTGTAACATTAAAATGTGTTCAAAAGTGTATTCCAGTAATTGTTCATTAAATTAAAATGCATAATTTTAATATTATGTTCGTTTAAAACAAACAGTATAACTACGATAAAAGCGACAGTTACAAAGCAAAACGTGTCAGGAATAATCTCAAGAACGTTTGCCTCCTTGAGATTATTCAGTCATAGTTAAGATACCGATTTAAGCGTAAGGTTTTGCTCTTTGTGTATCTGCGAGTAATTGTGTAAGATATCGGAATTTATTCAAATATCATCTTATGCTCCTGTTTATGTGTGTTGTGCTGTGTGTAGTGTGTTTATTTTTTTAAACGAATAATACTGAATACATGAAGCATATTAAATGAATCAAACAACGAGAGAAATCGAATAGTATTAATTATTACTTTTAGTATTAATTTTTTCGGTTTAACTATTCAATTAATGTAAAGGAATGAGTGGCTTTTCGTGGTACTTGAGACGGCAAGATATCAACAAGATTATTTTAGCATTGTAGCATGATCTTTAGGTGCTGGTCGCGACCAAGAAGAAGAAGACATTGACGTTCGTGATCGGTGGGATCGCGATGGCGGTCGCGATAGCGGTTATCGTCACGCTCGTGGTGGTCCTCTCGGGCAACGAAGGGGGATCCGCAGAGTCGTTGGTCACCACAGAGGGCACGACGACGCCCGTAGAGCCGACAACAACCACGACAACCACAACAACAACAACGACGACGACAACGACGACAACAGAACCACCCATCACGGAACCACCAGGGACGTACCCTATAGAACTGGAGGATATAATTAACGGGGTTTTCACGCCGCCATCCTTCAATGGCACTTGGACGTCGGGTACTTTTTTTATTAAGTAAAATAGATTCATGAGTCTCTTTGAATTACGGTGCCGGCACCAATGGAATTGTTAAGTGCTGATTTATCACGTGTTTAGGAAAAACACCGTCACATTTTCGGAAAGATACACGATACGCAGTGGGGGCGCGTGGTGAACTACGTTCCTCCGTACAGAAGAGGCTTTTTTCAGTTCTGTCTTAGACACGGACAGTGGGTTGTATACATGCTGTTTCAATGTTAATTTATTAGTTATTTTATATTACAAATGGACAAGGGGCTATTTCGTATTTTAAAAGTTTTTATTTCACGTGTAATCGAATTTTTTTATATGATAAAAATATTTATGGCATGTTTTTACTTTATTTTTGGATTCAATATATATAAATGGTTACATTTTGTATATACTCAACAATACTAGACTATAATGTTATGACAGGACGTAGAGAGGTGTGCTATCGTAATAGCATGTTTTCTATGTGCAATTTTATGTTGAAATCAATTGCTTGCACACCTCGAATACCTAAGAAAACTGGACTAACGTTTTTTGCAGGTAACGAAGTGCTGTTTCGAAATGAAAACGGAGACCTGGTCTTATATAATGCCGACAGCGATAGTACGAGAGTTCTTATTAGCAATTCATCGCAGGTATAATTATTTACAAATTCCTTAGTCTAACCTAATGGAGTATTCCTTGTAGAAAAGAAGATAAGTGAAAGAAATGATTAAGAATAATTTTAATACGTTGACGTGCGAATAGAATATCACAATGGATTTATGTTAGTTTTATCATCTTTACTTTAAAATTTCGTCTTTTCCATCATTTATTTTTGATTTGTCCTACGGTATGTTCAATAGATCAAACTAGGATAAAAGAAATAGGTCAATTATTTTTTGACATTAGAGAGGCATATTAAAAAGAATAAAAATAAAATCAGCTTATAACTTAATATTGTTTAATTCCTGTATGAGTTTTCCTATTCCTACTTCAATCTTACACTGAAATGACTCGTAAATCGGTTCGTCTATGAAAAAAATATGTAATATGTTTAATTGATGCTGTTCTCTTTCATCAAAACTCGATCCGATTGGCGCAGTGGATAGAGAACCTGTTTCTTGTATGACTAAATGATGTGTTAAAGAGTGACGAAATATTTATTATCATTATTTTCAACTTCGATCTTCAGCCCCTCATGTGAGAATTATTCTCAACACAGTTTAGTTCCAATCGTGTTTATTGCACTGGATTTAAATCAACTCTGCAAACCGGGGAAATCTATTTACCTGTTTAAACTTCGTGACGTAACTTTAGCGCCAACGAAATAGTAACTACTAAACTAGGACAAACCTGCTGGTGGCAATGAACAAACATGCAATTTACGAAATGTTAAATAAATTGGGATTCGTTTGAGTGTTTTAGTTCAAACATTCGCAATGCTTGAGATTTAATGGTGATCTTCACATATCTTACGAAGTCACATTATTGTGTTAGACATTTCTTGGTTTTCTACAATTATTGCAGATTAACCGACATCTCGTTTGCTACCTTCTAACATAAAAAAATCCTGTATTTTCTCCTTATAATATCCTGCGTCTTATGAGAATATCACCAGCAAAGAAAATCCGTCTTCAGAATCAGAATGTCCTTAGAATTTTAATTTACTTTTACTTCATATTAATTTAAAAATTGTGCGTGTCCTACTTATTCCAGATACTGCAGCAATCGTCAAGAGTGAACGATCTGTCACCAGATGGCAGCCATGTAATATTGGTCTACAATGTGGCTCCCGTAAGTGTTGCGTTCCTTTTCTTTTCTCAAATGACTTGATATCAAAGTTTCCTCCTCACTTAAAGCTTTCGTGTAACATATCTTTTGGATTGTTATTGGCCTACGATTGATATGAACAATTTATGTTTATGTCATCAGAAAAGAGACACTAAATTGATCGTCATTTATATGGCATGTGATCGAACTTATTAGTGGAAGACAACTCCTTAATTTTCGCTTAAAATAGCGGCAATGCGTTTGGTTCAGATAATGTTGCGTTGGTTAAGTTTACCCTAATCAAACTTGCTATTGTTCTCCGGGATCTTTTGTCTTCGTGTAGTAATTGAAGCACCAATAGTTTTGTCTTCAGCGAAGAGGTACGGAAATGAACGTTAAAGTTATAGATTGTTGTGTATAATGCTTGTATTATTATGAATTATCTTCTAAAACAGGCTTAACTTACTTTACTTAGGTTGTAGAACCGGAGGGTTACTGACTAATAATGCCGTTTTATTTGATGTAATGGATATATTAACGAATTTTCTCTAATATTAAATAAAATGTGCATACGAAACTCGCTTTTATTGCAAATAGTCGCAGCTTTATGCATTGTCGAGGGTGCTACTTACAGTACTTATATTGATGAAGGAATAAATTAAAAGTTAATTATTATCCATTCACTATTTCACCATCACAGCCAAAGCCGGTAAATGGAAATATATCTAAAAAAATGATGTGGTGTCGTGGGACACCAGGTAGGAACGAAGTTCCTTCGGCTAATGTAGAATCGACACAAATTGCAAAAAAAAATCGTGCTCAATTTTATGTAGGTTTTCTTGATTTTTCTCTTAAATTTTGCTGACTAGTTATTATTTAAGTACAAGAAAGTATTTAGGAAATTCAGTATTTTAGGAAATAATAAATTACTTAAAATAAAAAAACATCGTAATTCAAATTATCAACTAAAATAACAAAATTATACACTACTCGCTTGTGTACTGTCGCGCCTGCGCACGTCTCATTTAACGGTTTTATTCCATGCACTTTTTTCCACGGATTTTTTCTTACGGTTTTACTATCACATTTTTTTCAGTTTGGTCGCGCAGCAAAATCCCTATCCCCTCCAAGCCTGCCGTAAGGAACTTCGTTCCAATTAGATAATTGTCTCTGTGCACTTTTAGATTAGGTATATATAGTTGTAAATTTGGGCATAAAATAATTCAAGGTCATCATTTGCAAGCTGTATAATTGTAAATTTATTGGAGAACATAATTTAAGCTTTTATAAACCACTCTGTATTTATGCAGTAAGAGCACTCGTAAATACGTAACACACTTTCAGAACGTCGTTTTGCTTGAAAGGTTAAATGATATAAACAAAATATGTATAAATAGATAACATCAAAAAGTTAGGTTGGGCATATATTTTCATTAGGATAAATTTTGTTCACCAAAACAACACAATAAGCTTATTGTGTTGTTTTGGTGAACAAAATTGAATTGAATGAAGCATTTCCTTAATATTATTTCCACGTATAGTATAATTAAAAATGTTTCAAACAAAAATATTACGATCACCATATAATAGTATAATCCTTGTGAAACCAGGACCTCTTCGAATAAACAGTTCTGCTGTTTCTGATTGAATTTCTTGATTGTCGTTACTTTTATACTATACGTTACCTTATTACTTTACAGGTGTACAGATACAGTTACCTCGCCCGTTACGCCGCTATAAACGTTGTGAATGGAGAGGTTGTTGATATCCGGCCGCCTTTGGTGTCGTCGGAGGAAGCTTTCCTGCAGAACTTCGTTTGGGGCCCGTCTGGCACTTCACTGGCTTTTGTTTACCTCAACAACATCTACTACCAGGCCAGCCTAACCAGCACTCCGCAGCAAATCACTTCCACTGGACAGCTGAACGTCATCTACAACGGAATACCAGATTGGGTATATGAAGGTACTAACAGAGTGTAAAACGATTTACTTGCGTGACCTAGTCCCACAGTTGCAGTACGAACTTTGTGTTTTTCCTTTCCTTCACGTCCTTTTCAATGATATCAAAAAAACGACACTTCCCTTTATCATACATCACGTAGGGGATACTCAAGAGTTTAAATAGCAAAAGTATTTTTTAAAGGCTCCGTAAGAGTGGATTGGAGGATCGACTTCAGAAATATTGCATGTCTGTTGCGAACCACTCAGAGTATGAACCTCGGATTACCTCACTCACGGGACGAAACGGAAAAGTATTATTTTATGAAATTATAAATATCACTTCTCTCCGACCTTTTGCCAGGTCGAGCTCCAGACCTGGTTAAGCTCGCTTAAATGGTCGGCAGGAATTATTAAGTAAGTTTAAACGCTTTGTCAATTGAGTTTGTTCGAGTTTAACTGGCAACAATATAATTTGTTTTGTAACCAGAGGAAGTGTTCGTGTCTAACAATGCGCTGTGGTTCGCCTTCGACGGTAGCAAGATAGCGTACGCGACCTTCGACGACACGAGCGTGCGGGTAATGAAAGTGCCACACTACGGGGTTCCCGGCTCCGTGGATTACCAGTACACTCAGCACCACGAGATTCGCTACCCGAAGGTAGGAAGTGTAGGTGATATAATTAAAAGTAGCTTGTCGAATTTAGTTTTCTAGTACCAAAAAAATGCTAGTAGCAAATTGCTTGTCGCATATTTGTTTTCTGGTACCCAAAAACAGGTAAGTTTTAAGGACGTGAAAAAGAAATGCATATATTTTTACATTCAAAAAACCTAGTTATCCTCAGTTTTGGTATCCTGGTACAAATGATCGCTGTTTTCATAGAATTTTAGAAATTGCATTGTATTTGTAAACCTCGAAACGTATGTAATTACGTAGGATATCAGTATTAAAGTGATTTTTACTGTTACTTTTTTACTGGGTTGGTTCCACGCAGCAGTTTCTGTTTTTGTATGAATTTATGTTGTTGGCCGGGCTCATTTGAAGGGACCTCACAGAAGACTGGCGTGGAGTGAAAGTAAAATAATTTCATGTTTCGTCCGATGAGTGAGGTAACCGAAGCCCGATTTTTTAATAGTTTGCAAAGCATTTGTAAAACCTCCGGTGTCCATGGGCAGCGGTAATCACTTAACATCAGATAAACTGCTTGTCCGCTTGCTAACATTTCCATTAAAAATATTTAAATTATTTCGGCATTTTTTATTCAACTGATACTAACATAAGGCAATCGTAAAACCTGGACTCGAACTAACACACTACACGGGATACGGCTTTTTGAATTTTAATACCGTTACTACGCTGACGCTTACGGTATAGATTACTTATACACTTCTAAGATTGAATGCCATACAGATAAAATATATTTTTATTAGATATATTTTAAGATTTGGCTGGAAATTGTACGTAACTGCGTCATATAACACCTACAAGTATATATTAAATGATCATAAATACACAAATCTCTATGACTTGTCCGATCGTCGCTCCACCTGTCTGTACGTCTCTCTTTCCGTTCTATGCTTTTCTAAAAACGAATCAATGGAACACAAGTTATGTATAATCTAGCCATGTTTTAGCCAACGTTCGCCTGCGATAATTGAAAAGGAAAGCTGACCAAGCGATGACCAGTGCTGTCACACCTAGTTTATAATCCATTCAAGTCAATTGCACATTTCGTATGGATCTACTTTTTATATCGGTAGCGTTTTTCCTGCCATGCCAGTAGTGAGAGTTGAATGTGCCGGATGTTATGAACGGATTGCGTCATGGACGCTTTGTTTCCTTTCCTTGCCAGTTCTGTACAGAGCATGAGACGTGAGAAAGTGTTTTGTGTGTCAAAAAAGTAAGGAAATCGGAAGTTGTTCTGAATAAGTAATCACGAAAATAATGATTTCTTATAACTTATCATTGGGTGAATTCCATGTTGAAATCTGACATATATAAAAACGGTTAACTGTAATTGCATTTCGTCCCGTCCTAAGACGTTCATAAAACATCATAATAATATAATGCAGTGTTACGCTAATAACAAGCATTGTATTACAACTTACCGGTGTAATTTTAATAATTTCGTATGAACATAATTTCGTGTCTGTTTTCTTAGCTGTGCACTAGAGAAAGTATAGTAAACTTGTTTTGTGTTGCGTTAATTAATTGTAAACCATTCTCCGTTACACAATATCGATGAATGAACTTGTAACAGAGACTTCAAAGTTTTATTGCTTTTTTTTGGTTTAGCGAACAATCAAATAACTTTAAAAAGAAAGTCGAGCGTTCGATTCCGGTTTAGTATTCATGTGGTTTATTATTCAATACCTAAACTGTAATTAAAATTGGTACCTAGTACAATGCCCTGATACCCTCTGTATAGAAGAGGCCTTTGCGCAGTAGTTGGACATGTATAGGCTGTTACTTTACTTTAACTACTATCAATTAAAACAATATTTTTTATTACGCAGAAATTGTGGGTGTCTTATTAATTGTAAATACATTACGTCTAATTTGAATGTATGTCAATTTTGTTGATGTTAAAGTCGTATTATTAAAGTTACATCTGCATCGAAACATATTTAAGGAACGGTAGAAAAACAACTTAATGTACTGCATTACTCTGTGACAGTGATGAAGAGAACACAATATGTTATTAATGTATATACTGACTACTACATAAAGCCGTTTATATTGTTTTAGCTATGCATATGTATATTATTTTCTCAACAAATAAACATGATACCAAACGTTTCCGAAGAATTTTATTATACTTTTCTTTTAGACGTTTTTAGCCCCAATTGAATCAAAATTGAGTACCGAATTTTTATTTTAAAAGTAAACTTAAATATTGATCAGATGAAGAAAGCTCTGATAAGAAGATACACATTTACAGGTATTAAGCTCAGGGACGTACACAAATCCAATAACGTGTTTAAAACTTCTAGTTAATTCTAGCTACATGCAAAGTTTTTTTTCTTTTATTTAAGTCAGTATATGAGTAAGACCTATACTACATTAAAATAAGAGAGCCATACAAGTTAAAATAACCTTCTAAAAGAATGGTACTCATTATAAGGAATGTTTGTAAATGAAGTAACAATTATGTTATACTAAATACCGTAGGATTTGAACAGAGATCAATTACTTGTCACATCTGTTAGCTGTACTTTGTTTTATCGAGCTAAGAAGGTAGAAATATAAATACTTTTACCAAATCACCGTAGTTTTACTTTGCACAACAATAACACTGGTATAATTACTTTTTTTATCACTTTAATATCACTAATGAAACACCACTCTAGATACCGATTACGCAGCACTATCGCGTATACTTCTTGATGACAGCCAGAGAAAGACGAAGACGACGAAGACCATGGAGTGCTTCGTGCAGCTTCATTTATACCCCCATAGAATGACACTTCTTTTAGTGTTGCCAACAACTACAAGGAACGACTTTTTTAATGTTGCCAACACATCACACAATAATGCAAATCAACGTCAATTCCAGCCGGGCACAACTAATCCAACCGTGAGGGTCACGATTCGAGAGCTCAGCACAGGGATCGAGTCTACCTACAACGCACCTAGTAATCTCAACGAGTAAGCAATAATTATTAATTGTTTTAAATAGCGAGATGTTTTTAAATTGTACATAAATGTACAGTCGGCCAAGCTCATTTATCCGTTAGCTCGTTGTTATTCTCGAGCGACTTGGTAACTTAGTGGCAACCACCACTTTTTTTTTAACGGATAAAAGGGACAAACGAGCTGGAGGATCAACTAATGGTAAGTGATTACCGCCGCCCATGATCACTTTCAACACCCGAGGGCGTACAAATGAGTTGCCGGCCGTTTAGGAAAGAGTATGCTCTCTTTCTGAAAGTTCCCAGGTCGTAACGGTTCGGAAAGACCTCCGGCGGCAGCTGGTTCCTCAGAGTGGTTGTGCGAGGCAGGAAATGCCGCATACTGATTCTATTGGTAATTCTTATATCCAGTCAAGTCTCTGTTTCGGAGGTATAGATGAGAAGTGTTTTAACGTTTGTGTACCATCCAGGGATTAAACTTACGAGAGGAAAGCCATCGTAATAAGCGTCAAAGCGAATACAAACAGTCTGGTATTGCGATGCCTATTTGTGTCGGAAAACACTTTTAATTTGTATAATCACGTCTCGAAGGAAATGTGAATTGAAAAATAGATAAGCTAGGCTTATTCTAAGAAAGTATGCGGTATGTATTGTTGTATAGTTATTTTAAAAAGAAGCGGTGACACTTATGATTGAAAATCAATAGGTTGTATTAATTTATTATGTATAAACACGTGTATATGTTTGTGATTAATAATTCACTCTTTTATTATTTGAATATTAAAGCAACATAAGATTTAATTGTAAACGAAATGATTGCGTTCTGAATTACTTTAGTGCGTTAAAAAATAATCATGGTCTTTCACCGCAGGCCAATTTTGAAGACCGTTAATTTCGTCGACAACAACACAACGGCATTGACGTGGACCAATCGTGCTCAGACCACACTCCAAGTTCAACTTTGCACCTATCCCGAATTCAACTGTACTCAGGTACGCTTCAGTGTTTTCCACGTTTGCAATTTCCAATGCTTCTTTAGCACACAAGTCTATGAACGTAGAGTCCCAGCAGGGATATTATGGAGCTCCGTTACCGTAACCGGCACATGTTACAGATTTTGTTATTGCCACAAATGCAATCAAAACAAAGAAGATAAGACGCTAGATTTCACGCAGTGAGGACGTCTGCCGCTTAGCTTAGCGGTTGGTGCGTCTGGATGTATAAACCTGACGGTGCAGGTTCGAATCCTGGCACCGGCGGAAATTTTTCCGACAGGTCAAGCTCAAGTCTCACCTTAAGTGCAGAAACTAGCACTAAAAAAAAAGATATAGAATTGAACATTAAAAATGCTTTTTTTATTCTATACTCAAATAACATAAATGTATACTTAGATTACATTAATAATACATTACAAGGTTTTATTACAAAGTACCTGGATGTTATTTTGAAGTTAAGTTATTAAATTGAGTGATTGTAAGACCATTGGGTTTTTCAATAATCATTGGATAATATATAAATAAAGTCGAATCATTTATTTTGTTCTTAGCTTACTTGTTTAACTTATTTGTATTTTACTTTTATAATTCTTTGCAAATCTAATATCCGTAATCGAAAGTATCTGAAAGTAGCGGATAATCCAAATTTAAATTATTACAAATTTAAATAAAAATAATTTCATATCCGTAACTATATCTGAAACCGTTATAACGTTTTTCATCATATAATTCATATATATCCGTATTAATATCCAGATCCGAAATTTAATATCCATAACATCCCTGATTCCTAACATCAGAGCTTCGATTGACTTAACAACAAAATAACCTAAACTTTTCAGATTTATCAGTACACGGAAGCGAATGGTTGGATTGACAACATCCCTATTGTGTTCAACGAAGCTGGCAATTCCTTTGTGACCATCCTTCCGCAGGTGAGCTTTACTAATTCTTTAAAGGTAACGATGTGACGACTTAATAGTCGTTTTTGTAATCTTACAATTATCAATTCTGGATCTGATCGCTTTATAAATATGATGAACTCCATCTACCAATTCACATAGCAACATATCTTCATATGTAATTATTCACGTTTGTTACTCATCAGGGAGACAGAGACTACGTGCTTCTGTTTTCCATGATTTTCACTTATTTCTATATTTATTTCGTTCCTGTTGGAACTTGAAAGTGAAAAGTATATAAAAACCATTTTTAATAGAGATATTGTGAAAAAGTATCAAGTCAGTATCATTTACTTTTTGATTTTTGAGGACCCATAAATAAAATACTAAGACAAAGATTATGCGCGTGTATTCTCCATGATCCTTGCACACTTTTGATGATTTTTATATCCATACTAGTATTTTTATATTTATTTCTTTCCCGTTGGGACTTCAGAGTGAAAATTATATAAAAACAGTTTTCACAATTTACTTTTCGTAAATTTACCTTCTGAAAGACAGCAAACCATTCAAACCATGTATATCTTAATACACGTTTCTACTCCCATTTACAGTAATCTCTTCTGACATAAGTCAGAAAATTCGATAGTGCTACTGAACCAGCTAGTATGTTTTTTTGTTATAGAAGGATTTCTTCCGAAAGTTATTGTATCAAAACTCTTAGAGATTAGGCACTGTTTACCACGTTCATCAGAGGAAGTTCCAAGCTATTAAACATTGTACTTTACGCCGATAGGTCATATTACTTTTCCCGAAGCTGCTGCGTATGTTGTATTAGTAAATAGTGCGAATTTTAATATTGACTTAATCTGGGCCAGATTTAAATCAAGGTTGGATTTTTTTTCATGCAAGAAGGTGGTAAACGAGCTGGTGTTCACCTGATGTTTACGTGATAATCGCCGCCCATTGACGTTTGAAAAACCCGTAGGATTGTAGATGCGTTGCCACCCTTTTAATAAAGTGGGGCCCGCCTACCTCACTCAAATTTAAATCCATTCGTTTCTTACAGACTGTGAACAATACATTGTACAAGCAAATAGTGCAAGTTTCCGACGTAAATGAGAATCTATGGACGGCCGCTGGACGCACGAACACACCGCACACTGTCACAGAAATTCTACTCTGGACAGTTGACAATATCATGTAAGCAAATTTTATGAATTCTTGCCAGAGCCTCTCACAATTGCTTCCTTTGATAATTATTAAAAAATCCTCTTTGAAACTTATAACTAAGAAAGCCAACGAATTACGCGCTCTTTTTTATGTGAAAAGTTGCCAAACGAGCTGACGGTTCATCTGATGTTAAGTGAATACCGCCGCCCATGGACATCTGCTACACCAGAGGGTTTGCTGATGCGTTGACAACCTTTTTGGAAATTGAGCTCCGGCTCCGGCCTCACTCACCAGAAACGCGAAAGTATTTGTCATACTTGCACTTTACGCCAGGCTTCTGTGAGGTCGTGGTACTTACCCGGACGAGCCTGCCCATTCGTACAACAGCCGAGGCTACTGCGTGGCTCTACCACCATTAAAGTACATTTTAAGCATCCTAGATGGCGCGAACTTTGCTTCGCTATAGGTAGAGGGAGTTGTAGTCATTTATAATTAGATTCCTGCGGTTAGGGAGAGGCACAAAGATAGTAAAACTCATTCGTTAGATAATTTTAAATTTTAGCTTTTGCTTCACAGCTGGTACAAAGCGACCCACGTGGATGATACTGCTGAGCAACACATCTATACTGTCAATGCTGGTCGCGAGGTCACTTGCTTTACGTGTAGAATTTCACGGGCAGACCGTAACAGATGCTTGTATAACGACGCGACCATCAGCTCTGACAGCTCGAAGATTGCCATCAATTGCGCCGGGCCAGACTTGCCACAAATTTTCATTTATGATGGAGTTAGTAGTCTTGCTATTTTCTTTATAAATTATATAGTTAAATTGTCAATGAAGCTTTAGGTCAATTACTTTCGCTATCATGGTATTGTAAATATGTCGAATGCAAAGTATCTAGTTATGTGGACATTTCTTTATAACTTTTTGCCTAGCTCACCATTTGGGCCAAGTAACAAACCCTGCTGGTTAAGGAAACAACAGTATCTTAAGTTTTGGAAAAAACAATTTATTATTCTGCATTCAATTTAATGTAGAGTTCAAGCTAAGTAAAGATTGGCTCTTGATTGATACGATAGAGTGAAGTGCATTATAGATTTTATTAATCATTTAGTACTTAACTTTTTGCTAGTCTGCCAAGTGGTAGTATTTCAAATAAAATATAATGCAAGCTGATTTAAAGATAATTAAAAAAATAATGCAACCTTTCTCAGAATGGTACCCTGCTCACAACTTGGGACGACAATGCAGAAACGGCAACTCTGTTAGCCGACCGCTGGGTGCCAAGCATCCTGAGGATGAGCGTCCCCGTTGCTCCAGGACTGCCTGAAGCCGATGTCCACATTCAAGTTCCATACAACTACCAGCTACGAAACAACGTGCCTTTATTGGTATATGTGTAAGTATTTAACAGGAGCAAATTTGGCAGAGGGAGTAGAATGAAATGTTATTATTTCGAAAATATGTCAAAAGTCACCACTTAAAATTAACAATTCATTGGTGCCGGCACCGGGGATTGAACTCAGATTGCTCGAGTATATTTAATTAAAAGCGAATATCCCGACAATGAGCTATCACGGCATACTACACTAATATTATGAATATTAGTGATAAATGTACAACACGTTTATAGTTACAAGTGTAGTAGTTATACTTATGATTAGCTTATCATCGGTTAAAACTCTTATTAACCTTTTATCGGTTAATGTTTTGAAAATTTTTGATCAATTTTAACTCTTTAACAAATTCTTATAGATACGGCGGGCCTGACACTGCTCTGGTGACGAAGCAATGGACTCTCGACTGGGGTACATCCCTGGTGAACCGCTGGGGCATTGCTGTCGCACATATAGATGGCCGCGGTTCGGGACTGCGGGGCGTTCAAAACATGTTTGCCGTGAACCGACGGTTGGGAACGGTGGAGATAGATGACCAGATCACCGTTACCAGGTATAGGCGGAATGTAACGCTGTTAATAATATTAAAAACGTAACGTGCGTTTTATACACGGAAGTAGATTTTATTACTTTCATATTTTAAGCAAGACAAGGGAATCGATAGATATCATCTATATAACAATTGACACACAACTTATTGGTTCCTCCTTACTTACAAACACGGCGGAAGCAAAACAAAGCGGACTCAAAGTACACCCGCGTTCCACGGTGGTTATCACCGCCCCCAGCCACCGATTCATATATCAACTGTCATCGGGGTTACAATCCGTACCGAACATCGATAACTTATAGGTGACATATCTCCCGTTAAGATAAAACACACACGAGCACATCTCCGGCCCTGCTCAATGTTGAGGGCCATCAAGCTCGTGGGTTCTGGCTATCGAATAAAGAAGTCGATATGTTTTATACAGTATCTAAACTTGGAGTTTTTTTCTTTCAGTATTTATATAATGTTTATGCGATTTTTTTTATTATGAAAGACAAAATCTTTGTTATTCTACGCAGATTATACAAATACAAGTAATCATGTGCATATGAATCGGAACATCGGACATTGGTTCTCGTGTGGTTTCGGGACAGTAAATAAACAATACGCGGATTGGCATTTTAGGTACCTTCAACAACAGCTGCCCTGGCTGGACGGGAACCGCACTTGTATATGGGGCTGGTCCTACGGTGGCTATGCGGCATCGATGGCTCTGGCGCGAGGCGGGGACGTGTTCCGCTGCGCGGCTGCGGTCGCTCCCGTCGTCGACTGGAGATTCTACGGTACTCTTCCTGCTATTCCGCTTCGTGCTTCCATACGGAACGGACGTTACTCTGAGCCGGAGGGCCCATGCCAACCGACCCGGAAGCCATTTTGCAACCGTTGTTGCTACTTATATTATTTCTTTTATCTCTTGGTGTGCACTGCTTGCCTCATCGTTGTCGTGTTTCGCGGTCTACGGTTAGGGAAGTCTCAAGCAAGAAGAGTGAAGAAAAGTTATAGAAGAAAGAAGAAACATTATAGAAGAACGAAGAAACTTTGCCCGACTTCCGAGCGGATAGTGTTAGTGTAGTGTTGTGCTCGTAGGCAGGTTCCTGTCCGTAAGTAGAATTCTACACACATTTCTCGTCTCAGAAGCGGCATTGTAATTTTTACCTGTGTGCTTGTTGCATTAGGCGACAGCTAGGTACTCACCCTAGCGCACCTAAAGCGCAGGCGATTAAAGGTTAATTTTAGGCACACACCTCCCTGCCGCAAGGTGGGGAGGCCTATTTAGTAAACCACACGCCGGCAGGGCGCAAGCCCCAAAGGCTCAAGCGTCGACATGGGTTCCCTCATAGAGGAATTCCTGCGTCAAGAATGCCCCGAATTATGAGTAAAATATTTGAATTTCGCGAGGGAACGACGCATCGTCGTCGAATTCTCTAGCGACAGTCCGGCTTCACTGGCTGCCGCCTCGCCGCCATCTCCGTTGCCCTCTGCGCCAGCTATTGTGTCGCCCTCTGCGACTATCGAAACGCCCGTCGCGTCGACCTCCGCCGCCGCGATCGATCCTAACGCGCCTTCCGCGCAACCAATTTCGGCCCCCTTCCACGCTGTCGTTCCCGACTCACAATCGGACGGCGGCTCAGACATGGAGGTTGAAACGACCCCCGCTAACAACGCGAACGCCGACGGCTTCACCGTCGTCAAATCGCGCAAAAAGGGCAAGAAACGCCCCGCTACGGACAGCGACCACGAAAGCGAGGCCGCCCCGTCAAACCGTCCCACCGCGACGCCCGCCAAAAAGGCAGCCGCGACTGCCCAGTCGGAACCGACATTCGCCTCCGAGCGAAAAATGAAGCCACCGCCGCCAATTATAATCCAAGAAAAGGCAAAGTGGCATCAGATATGTTCATGGTTCGAACGCCATAACATACGAGACCCCCGGTCCAAGAATATGGGTATCCGCGTATACCTCGATTATTCGGACGATTTCCGCCGCGTAACGAAATACTTGCGCGAAGCTAAGGTAGGTTTCCACACCTACTCACTACCCGAAGAGCGTAAACTTCGGGTCGTAATTAAGGGCGTCCCAAAAGAGTCGGATGTCGATATGGCTAAGGTCGACATCCGCACTCAGGGATACCCTGTTCACGCCGTGCGTCATCTCAGGCACCCTCGCACCCGTGTCCCTATGGACATGGTCATGGTGGAACTTGACCCTACCCCGGAAGGTAAGGCCATTTTCAACCTTAAGAGGGTCTGTGGGCTCAGTGACTTAGTCATCGAGCCCCCACGTAAATCAGGTGTTGTGGCACAGTGCCACAATTGTCAACATTTTGGCCACACGGCCAATAGCTGCTTCGCTCACCCAAGGTGCGTCAAATGCACCGGTGACCATGGCATAACCGGCCTACCGGCCATCCGGCTAGTTATAGAGGCTGCGCTAAGGCCCCGAAAACTCCCGCGAGAAAATCTCCCGCGAAGTCTACGTTGCCCAAACCCGCGCCCGTTAAATACATTCCCGCGCCCGTACCCGTCACAAACGCCTGGGCGAAACCCCAGGTGGCCGCACAGGTAACCACGCCGGTCGCCTCACGACCGATTGCACAACAGCTGCCCGCCTCTCAAACGGCGCCGCGGCCGCAGGTGCAGCCAACTCCGTCAGTTTGCGCGGAAAACAAGGACGACCCATTCGCGCAAATCGCTAATATTTGCAGCTTTCTTGATAGAATCAATAGGGAACTAGCCGTATTGTCCGCTAAAATAGCGGCCGCCACATCTGGCCACGAGCGTCTTAGGGCAATTAGCCAACACAAAACGCTTGTGGAAGCCCTTTGGGCTTTTACGAGCCAACAGTAAAAAAACAATAGTCCGCGCAATAAAACCGCGCTCCGCCGCGTCGTTAATTAGACCCATAAAAACACCTTAATGGGAAGTACAACCGCAGGTAGAACAAAACCTCGGGCTCTGGTTGTTTCGTATTTCAACGCAAACGGCATAAAGGGTCAAAGGGATGAAATCGCGGAATTCCTTCGCGATTATAACGTAGATATTTTCCTAGTGCAAGAGACATTCTTGAAACCTAGTGTACGCGATCCCAGAATCGCAAATTACAATATTGTCCGCCACGATCGGTTAGCAAACCGTCTGGGAGGCACACTAATTTATTATAAACGGTCCTTGCACTGTTGCCCGCTCGACATTCCAGAGCTAAGTCAAATAGAGGCATCCGCGTGTAGGTTAGCGCTCACCGGCCACAGGCCGCTTGTACTAGTCTCAGCCTACCTCTCGGGGAATAGAACCCTACTTCAAAGCGACCTAGATACGCTTCTGATAATTGCAGGAGATCTAAACTGCAAACACGGCTCATGGGACACCAACAGCATCCCAAATAACAACGGAAAGCATCTCTTTAGCTTATCCGATAACCTAAATTTTAGTATAGTCGCTCCCGCGACTCCCCTAGGTATCCTACGGTGGACAATTACCAGCACGCGTCACCGAGTGTCCTAGACATAATGTTATTCAGGGAGGTCTCGCTCGACATCGAGTCGATAGAGACAATCCATGAACTAGACTCAGCCCACAGGCCCGTCCTGTGTAAACTGGGCCAGAACGCCGGCGCGGTCCCTCCGACCAAATCCGTAGTGGACTGGCATCGTCTTAAGGTCAAACTCAAGGCCTTGGACCCCCAGGACTTAGTAGACTTACCTGAGACGATAGCTACGTTCGATGACGCAAATCGAGCGATAGCGAGTCTCCGCGAAAACTATTACTTCCGCAGTCACAGACTCGGAACGGACGGTGAAACTGTCGGGCGACCGACGGTTTAACTTTCCGCCCGACCTACGACTGCTAATTAGACAGAAAAATGCAGCCAAACGCGCCTTCGACCGATACCGATCGGAATCGAACCGAACCCTACTTCGACGCCTTCAGCTAGAAGTCAAAGATCGTGTATCGGAACACCGACATACAACGTGGGACAATCTCCTAGAGGACATCGAGCCATCGCACACCGCCTACTGGCGGTTGACCCGCAGTCTGAAAGCAGACCCCCGCGAATCTCTACCGCTGTTAGTTAGACCTAATAGCGCTTCAGTAGCCCTAGATGAAATCCGAAAAAGCCGAATGCCTTGCGGACAACCTAGAGCAGCAATGTACGCCATCGCGCGAACACACTGATACAGTCCACCTAACGGAGGTGGACCGCGTAATCGAGACTAGGGCTGCGCTTCCACCGGAAGGGGAACCTTTAAATTCAGTGACCCCCGAAGAGGTCCAAGATATTATTAAAAATCTAAAACCGAAATCCGCCCCGGGCCCAGATAATATCAGTAACAAAATTCTTAAAGCTCTCCCTGGGCCGCTTATCTGTTTACTGGCGACCATTTACAACACTTTACTCTCCAGTTGCTCCTTTCCCGACTACTGGAAAGAAGCCACGGTTATCGGCATTCGCAAGCCGAATAAACCAGCCAATCAGCCCTCTAGTTATCGTCCCATCAGCCTCCTCAGTTGCCTGGGGAAGCTCTACGAGCGGCTTTTATTAAACAGGCTCAATGAACACGTGTTTTTAACGGCCTTCTGCCGGCGGAACAATTCGGCTTTCGAGCTAGACATTCCTGTCCCGATCAACTATTCCGCCTAACGGAACATATCCTAAAAGGCCTAAATCACCCTAAACATATTAGTACAGGGGCTCTTTTCTTCGATGTCGCAAAAGCATTCGACAAGGTCTGGCACAACGGCTTGCTTTACAAGCTGTACACACTCAAAGTGCCAGATAGGCTCGTACACACCATCCGGGCCTTCCTGTCAAACCGCTCTTTTCGATATCGAGTTGAAGGCAACCTCTCCACAAGCCGCCGCCTCACGGCCGGCGTACCACAAGGCTCCTGCCTCTCACCTTTGCTCTTTACGCTCTACACGAGCGATATACCTAAAGACCCCCACGTCAATCTCGCGCTTTTCGCGGATGACACGGCGCTCTTTTATTCAGACCGCAACCTTAGACAACTAACCACTCGACTCCAAAGCGCCGCCGACCACCTCGGCGACTGGTTCCGCAATGGAGAATAGAAATAAATCCCGAAAAGAGTGTGGCGATTCACTTCACACGAAGTACTTACCCGTCACATCTTTATAATGGCCCTCGCCAATGCAGAAAGTTGGGGCAAATATCCCTTTATGGCCAACCGCTCCCCTGGGAGAAAAAGGTCAAATACTTAGGAGTCAATTTCGACTCGCGTATGTCATTTATACGCACATTAACAACGTTCGTAATAGAGCCGCGTTCGTCTCCGGTCGGCTACACAATTTAACTAACGCTAAAAGTAAAATGCCCTTAAGACACAAATTATTATTATATAAGACCTGCGTACGACCTATTATGTCCTACGCATGCATGATTTTCGCCCACACGCACCCTACTCGCTTGTACAAGCTGCAAATAGTACAAAATAAGTTCATCCGCCGTGCAACCGGTGCGCAGTGGTATCAACGCAACGTCGATCTGCACAGCGATTGCAGACTCCCGACGATTCGCGAATATTTTAAAGACCTGACCAAACGGTTCTTCGATAGAGCCGAACATCATACCAACCCTCTGGTGGTAAGCGCAGCAAATTACCAACCCGACACAAACGCGAACGTCAACAAGCGTCGCCCGCGAAACGTCCTCATCGACCCGGTCGAGGAAGAGGACCTAGATACGCCGGACCCACCGCCGGGGGTCCCGCCGGACAACACTACACCCACAGTTAGTGCAACAACAAACACACTAGTTCGCCCTCGCCTCCGAGCACGGCGAGACCAACACAACGCGTACACAAGGTACACCCGCGTTCCAGGGCGGTTCTCATCGCGCCCAGCCACCGATTAGCTAAAAACACAGTCGACGACGGTTAAACGCACGCATGAGCACATGCGCGGCCCTACCCACAGCGGAGGGCCCAAGCCCGTGGGTTCTGGCTAGCCCACCGGTTCTGCGTCAGACGAAGCTTTAATAGTCTCGGGACTGAAAGCAAAAACATCAGTTAATACAAGATACAAGATACAAGACTCTTCCTGCTTATCCATTTTATGTAATATAGAAATCAACCCTAAGCTAAATGTAAGTAATGTAGTTTAGCTAGAAATACATATAATTATGTAAATTTCTTTACAGCTAGTTGTCTATGTTTTATCCAGGATTTCAAAAAAGTAGAAAGGCATGTTATAGTGCTGTTACATGTGATTTATTTCAATTTATCGCTGAGATAAGTATCCTAAACCGATAAACATGAACTGTAACGGTAAAGACAAATACCGATTTATAGGAACTACATGCCATGATTTGAGATTCATTGTTATTTTAATGATAATTTTTGTTGAATGAACAGATTAGTTAATAGTTAACGTGCTCATTTTCTTCCTCTTTTGTGGGCTTGGTTCCCTTATCTATAAAATTTTGGCTAAATCTCGTTTAGTTGTTATCTGATTTGATTGGTAAATTTGAATTAACTGATTTTGGTTTTTTTCATATTAATGAACCAATCGTCTGCTTAATACTAATTGAAGTACGCTACAAGCCACTACGGCTTCCATCAGACAAATAAAATTAACTCAAACTGGACGTAGTAAAAGGAAACAGTTAAAATTTTGATCTTTTCTTCTTTTCTTATAGATACGATTTACACTGAAAGGTACATGGACACACCGCAGAATAATGCTCAAGCGTATGCGAATTCGTCTCTCCTTACTCAAGAAGTGGTAAGGGCTGTTAAACATTTGCCTACAGTTATTTAATAAAATTATCACTGTATATTATTTTTCAAAGGTGTTTTTCGGACTAATAAGAAATGTCAATGACAATGTCGCAATAATATTAAAGCTTATATTTGCCGTTACTGAAAATAATTACTTTAAAAAACTTTTAAATTAAACGGTTTTATTTTATGTTTTTTTTTTTTGTTTTTTTTTTTGTTAATATTGTATTGTCATCTAAATTAAATGTGTGTACCAAATTTCAGAACAATCTGACAACGGCAAGGTGCTTAAATTTCAATTTCTAATTTTGACCCAAATAAATAAACAATCAAATTCCGTACGGGTCGAGCTAAATAAAACCGTTTAAAAATTGACAAATAGAATAGACTTAGTGTTTTCCACGAGAAACTTTTGTTTAAAAACTATTTAAAATAATTATTGAATATTACATATTTAAAAAAAAATTAACCTTCTTAATATCAAGCATGATTAAAATCGAATCAAAACCGTTTTTTTTTTCATCAAATGGATACAGAGAAGATAATACGTGAGAACTAAAGGTGTAAAGGAACAGAGCTTGTAGATAATTGTAAACGGATATGTAACTGTTTTTGTTGAGCATATTGAGGTAACAAGTATGCGTTTTATTACCATCAGGAGTAATTGTTACAACTATGTATGTTCTTTTAGGTCGAGGCATACCGTAACAAGCGTTACTTCTTGATCCATGGTACGGCGGACGATAACGTGCACTACCAGCACGCTATGCTCATCTCCAGGCTGTTGCAACGCCAAGATGTTTATTTCACGCAGATGGTGAGTTTCTCACTGTCGATAAGTGTCAACTCTTACATCTCCATTCCAGTACTGGGTGACATGACGCTTGCGCATCAATTTGAACAAAAATACGCTTTTTGTAATTAAAGGCATTCGAAGCGAATGGTTTCCTGGCGGCGAACCCGTCCATATACAATATAGATGTGTAAAAGGGTAGATTGAATGGCATTTTTTGTCAATAAAACTGGTTAGTGCTTAGTTACCATTCTTGCCTAATGGTATGTGAGGCATACGTGAATTTACTTACTAAAGTTTTTTCCCCAATAGACCTGCTACATCTGTGCTTAACCGTTCGACCAGTTAAACGACGTTTAAATACAAACGAACTAGTAGTCACCAGCTAGTCTTATCCTTTAAACGAGCAATTCTTGTATATATATATATATATATATATATAATCGGAATCTCGGAAACAGCTCCAGCGATTTTCATGAAATTTAGTATGTGCATAGATTCGGGGGGCGAAAAATCGATCTAGCTAGGTTTCATTTTTAGAAAATGTCCTTTTATCCCTGTTTTCAGGGAATGAAAAATATAATTCGAATATGACGGTAAATTTCGCCGCAAGAGAAAATGTCATAATAGCTCGGTCGGTAATCGGGCGGCCCCAAAACAGACGGCCGTGGTTCGCGTCACGATCATTTACACATTTATTTTTTAACTTTTTTTTTGATTCCAGATCATTTATTTCTTTATTTTTAATTTTTTGTCGATTTGTTATTTTGTAATTTTTTTTCCTTTTTTTTAAGTTCTTTCTTTTGTGAAAAACATCAGTTCGTATATTCTTATTATTACGTCGGTAAGATCGAAAAATATTATGCATATTTCATTACTGAGTTATTTGTATCTAAATGTAATTTCCAAAATACACGATTTACCAAAAAAAAAAACAAACCGAGCAAAGCTCGGTCCTCCGGGTACTTTGTATTTAAGACGTAATCTATCGGACAATTCTAATTACGTTGCATTATCGATGGCATAAATGATGTGATTATTAATCGAATAATAAAAATACTATGTAACATATATAGTATTTTTTTATTATTCGATTATTCAATCAATTAATTATGCTGTAAGCGTAGATAGGGAGCTCGTGATGAAAAAAATTGTTTCTTAAAGGCAGCAACACATCTACAACCCTACGGGTGTTGCAAACATCAATGGGTGGAGGTTGTCACTTAATATCATGTGAACGTTTATCATGTGAACCTGTTCGCCACCAAGTAGGTTGTTTTTTGGTTCGAAAACCTATAATACTTTTTTATGGGAGAACATAAAAAATAATGATTTAAGTTTGAACACCGATGTTAAGTTATCACTGCAAAACTTTTTTTAAACATTGCCCCCACTTTATGATAACATTATCTTGTGTTGTAAGGACGTTTCTACAAACCCAGGTGTGAAACAACTATCTGTGTGTCGCAGAAATAGTTGTCCCGTGTGGGAATCGAACCAACGACCCCCGACGCCGAAGCCAATACCTTGGAAACTGCGCCACGGAGTGATCAAATCAATTTTTAATAATTGTTTTAACGATTTTAATATAGTTTTGATCTAGTATACATAGTAGTAATATAGTTTATTTATGTTACAGAGCTACACAGACGAAGATCACGGTCTGATCGGCGTTAGACCTCATCTGTATCACGCACTAGAAAAATTCTTACAAGAGAATATGCTGTAAAACATTTAGGAGCCTTTATTGTGGAGTATTATTGATCGCACACTGGGTGTTTCCATGATAAAAATCAAAAGCCACAAAATACTGCTCACTCCACTTCACAAAAGGCCTTTATACTGTAATCCACACACGACAGTACAAATTGTTTTCATTTGTAAGTATTATTAATCTGTTAAAGCTCAATGAACTCTGATCGTTATTATTGATTAGCAGGATTTATCAAAATAGTTTTATGTTTATATTAGCAACAAATTAAAAAAGTTATCACAAGTATAGTATTAAGTTGTTATGTTACTTAATCGTTGCTAAGTTAAAGCAGCGTGTACAGGGTTAAAAATTAGTTTAATTACTAATTTTAAATTGTTCAAAGCGTTATACGTTAATTAATTTAAGACAACAAACACGCTATGCCATTTGTGTGAGAACCGTAAAATATGTGTAAATATTTCAAAGAATATAATTTTAAGTGAAAAAGTCCTAATAAATCTGTTTTCTAAAAAGAACATAATTTTTATTTATTTTTCTATTCTTATTGTCAATACTACTACCTAGACGATTAAGATAAATTTAATCAAAACAAAGATTTATTTGTTATGATGGTAATTATAATAAAATAGTATAGCTAAGTATGGGAAAAGTTGGCAACCTAGCATAATGGCCACCTAATGTTAAGTGATTAACGCAGTCATTTTTTATTTTATGTAAGTGTAGTTTGCTATCAAGCCGGGGCCTCTTTGATAGCTATGTTCAATGGGCAAAGTAAGACACAAATTAGGTGGTGCACGACGACGAAGTGATGAGGTCTTCCACTCCGCTGTACCTGCGACCATAGTAACAAAAGATGGACATTTCGATCCGAAGGTACCATGATTAATAAGGTCTAAAACCAGATCAGATGGAGGTTCGAACCTCGACCGCAATTTATAATGGAATCGAGCAAGGCATACTTACTTGTGTTTAACAATATCGGCTACAAAAATTTGATCACACAGTAATTAATTTAAACAAAATTATCTTTATTTAGAAAAGGAGGTTCACACAAATTGTCAACTCGCGGTAAAAATAAATTTTGAAAGTAAAAGTTCTTAGTTATACGATGATGGAATCAACGTATGCAGTCGCTATTACATGCCGTAAGCGATTCAAAACAAATCTTTCGCCTGACGGAGCCCAAGATATTGGAAGGCCTCAATCACGCAAAATATAACGTATGGATGACGCCAATCACGCATTTAACAAGTTCGGGCATAACGGCTTGCTCTACAGCATTTGTACTCAAGTAACAGACTGGGTCGTACATATCTTTCGCGCCTTCCTATTGAATCTTTGAATCTATCTTTCTGATACTAAGTTGAGGACACTTTCTCTATGACTTGCTTCCTCACGGCAGGCGTTGCTCAAGGCTCCTGCCTCTCTCCCTTGCATTTTTCGCTTTAGATAAGTTAGTCTTTAAAGATATACATCTCTTTTTTAATTACCTCCATAGCGCTGCCAATCAACTCTGTCACTCGTTTCAAAAATGGAAAATAGACGTAAACCCGGATGAGAATGTTGCAATACTCTTATCGGTCCTACCCCGTAGGCAACTTCGACCTTTCAATAACCCGAACTCGCCAAAGTAGGAGGCAAGGGCACATTATATTATACAGCCAACCAATTTGGGTAAAGAAGTTCAAGTATCCCGGTATTATGAATTCAGGTAATTCACAATAAGTTCTTCTGCCTCGCTACAGGTGCTAGATGGTATCAGCATAACGTCGACATGCATTGCAATTGTAGACCCACGACGCTACGCGAACGTACGGATGTAGTGCTGATAGACAAAGTAAGTTATGCATCGGTCATCGGGGTCATGGTCTGTATCGAACTTTGATGGTCTGTAGGTTAAATAACTCCCGTTTAAAATAACACAGGCATCAGCACATGCGCGACTCTACCCAACGTATCAAGTTCGATCTGGCTATCCCATGAATTCTGCTTTCGATGAAGCTGTAAGTATATGGACTGAAAATAAAAACATCAGGTAAAGGTAAAATTCTATTAGTCGCTGTGAGTTTAGATGTTATTTTGAGGGTCTTTGTTCTTATACAATTTGAATTAAAATCCAAGTAGAGGAAAACTGTAAGGAATTGGCTTTTGTATGTGAAAATTTGTCAAGCGGGCAGGAATTTTACATGTTGTTAAGTGAATACAGCCGCCATGTAATACTTGTACATTCATGCTGGTCTCTTGAAGAGTACCTACTGTCTGAACCGTAGATGAAGATAGGCCTACTGTTATAGTATTACTACGCTGACTTCTTCTTTATTGTATGTTGTTCATTATCTTTAAATTTTTTTTCAAAATTCCCAATTTTATTTCATTACGCTGTACCTTATACAAATGAAACCTCTTTCTCAGATTTCTTATAAACATTACTAATCTTACATACTACTTATAGGAACGATTATACAATATACAATCTTCGGCCAAGACCGTAAAAACATGTAAGTGGTGTCAATTAATGGTTTAAATGTGTATAATCAAACCAAACTATTTAAATGAAATTATTATAAAAACAAGCTAGACCTAACGCCGTAAATGATGACCTCAAAAATTTTTATTTCTAAACTTTGTTAGTAGAAGTCTACTGCGTCTAAGTCCGGAGGAGGAAGACGGCCCCAAACTTATAAAAGACAAAGCCAGGACATCGTGATTAGGTTTAACATATACCCAGCGGTATGCAGGTTTTGTAGCGGATAATGTTTCAAATAAGTTGTAAAAAAGTAAGAAAAAAACAGTGGTTCTCGTTTATAATATTGTTGTAAAGTATATGCGAAGACAAATTTAATTCGCCTTCACTTATACTTTACATACACCAGAAAGCGACTGACGCATGGCATGCCAGTCTACTAATGGCTTCCATTTACCATGGTCCTATCTGCAGACCCGCGTAGCATTCGCGCTTTAAGGAATTCTATTTAAGAAAATGAACATATGAACGACATTCATTATTCACGATTTTAGAGTAGTGTAGTTTGTTTTAAAGTAGCGATTAAAAGTCAAAATGAACCCATAAATATTCTCACAAATTATATTTATTGAAAATTATTTTTTAATTTTTAGTTCGATTATCTACACAAGTGTGTTTTTTTATTTTCAAACATTGTTTTAAATGCGTACTTGGCACAAGGACACTACAGGAAATTAAATAGCTAATAGGAAAAGCTATTTAAATTATTGCATTGTCATGGGTCTTTGACGAGTGTGCAAAGTTTGATTCAAATCGGATCGTTAAAAGTGGGGCGAAATCACGTTTAAATAATCCGTTACGTTCATACATACATACAGGTGAAACTAATATAAGCGTGTTAAAAAAAGATGACAATTCGTAACTAATTGATGCATTGTATGTCTATCTGACACCCGAGATAAGTTTAGGTGGGCGGCCATTCAATGTTCAGCCCTCGGAGGACTAGCTGTGGTGCCCGCTCGGCTAGCCGCCGGTCGACTAGAAACGGGGGGGGGGGGGGGGGGGCGGTTTCTTCGTATCCTAGAGGGGGGTCATAGACAGGGGATTGTTGAAGGGGAGAGTTATAGATATATAAGAAGAACGTTTACGAGATGGCCCAGGGAGGCACCCACAGAGCAGGGAGGGGTAAATGCCGGCGCTAAGTAGTCGTGGCTGGGAGACTTGTGAGCAATGGATCCCCATGCTCCCATGGCCTCTGGTCAGCGATTAAAGCCAGCGCATCACAAAAATTTGTATAAAAGTCAGAATCAATTTACGAAAATAACATAACGTATATAAATAGTGTGTAATTTTTAGAATCATTAACTTAAATCTAAGAGGTACCTTGTAAGATGTTGATTGTGTGAGATATGCATTAAAAATATTAAAAATATGTATATCGTTTTTAAAGAAACATTTTTATTTAAGGACTTCAACGCAAGCGAAGCCGTGGGCGAGAAGCTCGTATGATATAAAACCTATTGCTCCTATCTTTTGAACGAATTTAAGTTTATATTCCTTATATTGTGTCAACGACAATGATAAGATGTTTAGATATAAGGAAATCATGTTGTTATGTTGCCTTAAATTGTCTTATGTAAATTTAAGGAGATAAACAAATAAACTATTGTATAGGCCCCTTTCTCACCTGCAATCTCTAATCAGAGGAGAGGGGATCAACTGTATTGTGCTGAGAACAGGTTCGGGGAACCATATAGTTTTCATGTAATTTATCCTTTTTAATTTAGTAAATAAGTAAGTAAAAGAGCCGTGATAGCTCAGTGTCCGGGCGCTCGCCTTATCACGTGACTTATCACGTGCTCCGCATTTTCGAATATATTTCGAATATATGTGAAGTCCGCCAATCCGCAGTGGGGCAGCGTGGTGGGCTATGCCCTGATACCCTCTGTATAGAGGAGGCCTTTGCCCAGCAGTGGGACATGTATAGACTGTTACTTTACTTTTAAATAAGTAATTTGCTTTATGAATTGAGACTAAGGATTAAGGCTTGAGTAGTATACAGGGGTGACTTGACGGTCCGTTGGTCAGCACGACCAATCGAGTATAAAAGAGCAGCTCACAGCAGCCGAAGTCGAAGTCTCTCCCGAACATTTGGAGATGATACAACACTCACAGAAGACTTGATCCTTATTATACTTGCTCGCCTCCAAGAGAAATAATGTTACATACTCATTTCTTTTAAAGGCTTCGCGGCATATCCGGCGTGGCGTCGTCGCATGGAGTTAAGCCATTCCTTAGCCGGCCCTATAAAACCTTCCAATTCTTATTTGTCAATATGAAAACTTAATAATGTATTTAACAGCGAAAACGAACCCACGCAGACTTTACTTTCTACAAAAGATATATTTTTACCTAGACTCAAACATAACAGTCGACGAATGATCGTCTCTCCGTGAAAAATGTTTCTTTTATCACTTACCTTGAGTTTCCATTATAGATTATTTAATTCGTCATTATTACTTTTAATGATAGTCGACTATCTTATAATCTTGTGCACCGTAAATAATTCAGTGCGTAGTAGAGTCGGCCTCAGGCCGGTGGACGTGTAACTTTAAAGCCGTGCGGTGAGTAAACTTTCGTCATTATTAACTGTGTAATGTTTGAGTTGGGTAGGCAGAGAGTAATGGGTAACAGTAACAGTTTAACGCTTAGGTCGTTCAGATTGGTTTATCTTCGCCGGCTTCATTGAGATTAGAAGGTAAATTATTTTCATCATTTAATGGATTTATTATAGGTTTACCCTTACCAGGTACATTGAGGTTTTATCTTTTCGGTTATGTGGATTGTTGTTTCGGTTTGTGGGTAGACGTGTTAACTGATCAACACGTCTACTAAATACTTTTTATCATTCATTTTCATCATTTCGACAAATGATAATAAATTGATTTTTTATAACAAGTTGATTTGTTTCAAACTGTTACCCTAAGATATTGGGTCATTGACTTAACATCCATTTCGGCACGAAATATACACACACGAGCAAATTCAACTGATACCGGTGCCCTTGACAATCACAATACCAGAGGGGTGGCATCGTGTGTTGCCAATTTTTAAAAAGTAATGGACCCTGGGTGTTTGACTCACCAGTATAGTATTCTTCCACTTCACGCTGGTCTTCTGTGTGGCTTTGGTACTTGATTGGATGAACTCGCACGTTCGTGCAACAACGGAATCTGCTCCGTGGCTCTAACACATTAAGATAAAATAGGCCCAATCAAAATTTTATAAAACTAGTACTTACCTTGACAGACCTAGTAGAAATCTAGCAGTTTTCGTATTTAATTATTTCCTTCATATTTCGATTGCCTATTAGTTAATAATATTGACGTTGATAATTTTTATAACTTACTTAAAATGTTGGTTATCAAGTTTGTTATAAAGAAATTTATGACCACTGTTTTTATAGATATGATTACAAAGATAAGTATTGGGTCATGACATGTAATAATTCTATTATAGAGATTAAAATGATGCTATCTGATAAGATTATGATAACTATTTGAAACTTTATCGAATATTTGGGTTATCGAATTGTTTCTTTTCTTTTATAGGTTCATAAGGTTGAAATTATTCTCCCGCAGAAATAATAACAGGAGAGCTTACATAATGTAAAAAAAAAAACTATTTTACGGATTTTATAAGTATCTAATTGGTGAGCACAAAATATACCCCTCCACTATAATATAAGGTTTGACTAACCATAAATCTTCGTAAAAGAACACCGACACCTTCTACTGATGATTAATTGTAACCTCCAGCATGGCATCCTATGATTCATAAAATTACATCCCTGCACACTAATACAGTAAGATTATGAGATACTCAAAGCTCGTTCTGCACAGATCAAGCAAAATAATTATTAGGTAAAGCGTGCTAAAAACGTCGGGTGTAAAAATAAAAATTAAATTAAACAATGTGAAGTATTCTGGTTAATGCAAAAGAATTTACTAATTGCTTAGTAAATAAAAACAATGATATTATGGCAGATTAAAAAAATAATACTTATAATATCAAAAATATAATATTTAATACGTATAAAATATTACGTATTAAATTAATACTACGTAGTATAACGAGGATCACGCAACAGCTTCGGGTGTTGCCCAAATGGGCAGGTCCGTCCGGGTAAGTACCACAACCTCACAGAAGACCGGCGTGAAGTGGAAGTGTTCTGCGTTTCGTCTGGTGAGTGAGGTAGCGGGTGTCCACTTTATTAAAAGACGGTGACTTAACATCAGGTGAACCGCCAGCATGATTGCCACCTTCTCGTACAAAAAATAAATACCAATAATAATTCATTCATCTTTTTATGTGAAAAGTTGCCAAGCGAGCAGGTGGTTAACCTGATGTTAAGTGAATATCACCACCCATGGACATCTGCTACACCCGAGGGTTTGCAGATGTATTGACAACCTTTTGAAACCTCCGGTTACCTCCACCAGACAAAACGCGAAAGTATTTGTCATACTTCCACTTTACGCTGGTCTTCTGTGAGGTCGTGGTACTTACCCGGACGGGCCTGCCCATTTATGCAACAGCCGAGGCTGCTGCGTAGCCCTACCACCACTACTGATATCATAATGTCATTATGATATCAGTAGTGTAGTAACTATTTACTTTTTTTTTCAGGCGAAAAAGCGGAGGAAACGGCTCAGGAAAACAGTGACTCAACGATGGACATGGGGACCAGCGACCAGGTATACGTTTTTGACAATTCTATTCTTTGGATAATGAGATAGAATAATGAGAGAGAGAATGAGGAGAGATGTTGAAATATTGAACAAAAAATTCAATTTATAAGCGGCATCTTTAATGGTGTCTGATGGCTATGAACTCCCTAAAGTGTTCGAAAGTTGGAAAAAAAAACATGATTAAATGTAAAAAAAGCCGTAAATTAGTTTTATTTAATACAGTAGTTTTCGCACACAAGAAACAGAAGAAATCAATAATATGTATAAATTGTTGATGAAATAATAACGCATAGTTTTAATGTGGGTAAGAAGTGTATTTTGATACTTTTGGTTAACTAAAATATAATCCATACTTATATTATAAATGCGAAAATAACTCTATCTGTCTGTCTCGCTTTCACGCAAAAACTACTGAACCGATTTAAATGAAATTTGGTACACGGATCGTCTAGAGCCTGACTAAGGACATAGGCTATTTGTTTATTGGAAAAAAGTTTCTTAAAGGGGATAGATATTTATTTAAGGGCTTCAACGGGAACGAAGCCGCGGGAGAAAAGCTAGTGTTAAATAGAAGCAATTAAAGGAGTGCCTTTTCGTGTCAGTTGAGATGGAAAGACTTCGTTTTGGTTTTTTTGGCATTGTAGTATGGTCTCTTCAGGAGCTGCTTGCGGCAAAGAAAAAGAAGCGCCTGACGTTCGCGATTGGTGGTATCTTGATGGTGGCCGTGATAGCGGTCGTCATCACGCTCGTGGTGGTCCTCTCGGGCAACGAAGGTGGGGCTGAGGAGCCGGGGGTCACCACAGAGGGCCCAACAACGCCCATAGCGCCGTCGACAACCACGACGACGACGACGACAACGACGACAACCGTACCACCCATCACGGAACCACCCGCGACGTACCCTATAGAACTAGAGGATATAATCAATGGAGTTTTCGCTCCACCATCCTTCAACGGCACTTGGGCTTCGGGTAGCGTATTTTGATAATTTTAAGTTATAGGTATGTTATTGGACAGTTATAGATCAGTGCTAAAACACTGGTACCGGCGCCAATGGAGCTGTTTAGTGCTGTTTTATTACGTGCTTAGAGATGGATGACAATATCGTGATGTAATCCGAATTTTTGGAATAATGATAAAATATAATTTTAATAATCGTGCTGTCTACCATTACACAATGGTTTCTCGTGGGGGACTACATTCTAATACCCTATTTACAGAAGAGGCCTTTTACAGGTTGTTCTCAGACACTGGAAATAGAAAAAATATTTGTATGCTGTTGTTACTTTATTCTTTTATAGCGTTAAAAATACAAATAAAAAGTAAATGTTTAGATTATAGAAATAAATGGGTAAATAAAATGATTGCACAATGTTAACAGTGGATGTAGAAAGAGAACGTAATTTTGATACTAAAATATACTATGATTGCACGTTATCTATTGGCAATTCTATGGAAACCTCCTTATATTGGAATCTCGATTTCTTAAAAAACTGGACTATCTTTTAGGTAACGAAGTGTTGTTTCGAAATGAAAATGGAGACTTGGTCTTATATAATGTCAACAGCGATAGCACGAGAGTTCTTGTTACCAATTCATCTCAGGTAATATAAAAATTATGTGTACTATCTTAATAGGTTTATGTTTCAAGTTTCTGATATCAAATAAAAATAAACTTTAATCATAAACCTATGAAGTTAAAATAATTTCTTCTTTCCCATTTATTATTGCTGATTTATCCGGTGATAGGATATCCATGGGACAAACAAAACCAAAATTGTGAAAAGGAAATCAATTATTTGTTCACATTTAGTGATAGGCATAAGATCAGCTTATGGTGCATTATAGTTTCATTTCATTGTGACTGTAATGTCGATGTTTTCCATATCTTGGCTACAATGGTTCGTTTAGTTTGTGATATTAGGCACAATAATATGTTCGTCTTTCTATTTAAATTAACGCAATTAACTAACAATGTCAATATTAAGAAAACTGGAATGTTTTTATGTTATGCCCGTAAACTTTTTTACAGCTTCTGTTTCCTATTCATATTTGAAAAACAAAGCTTGTTTATTGTGCTCTCCATACAAACAAAAGAGCTTTGCAGACTGTCATTCCATACAAACATGCCCAAAACACCTAAAGCCACAAGTTACATTAAAGTTACCATTTACATATGCTAATTATTGATATGTTTACATTAGCACTTGACTTTCAGTGTTTTTTGAGTTATAAGTGATAGTGGCACGCCTGTGTATAATTTCCAGGTACTACAACAATCATCAAGAGTAAGCGAGCTATCACCAGATGGAAGCCATGTAATATTGGCTTACAATGTCACTTCCGTAAGTACCGGCTTTATAAATTAAATCATCTTTGAACATCCTTGATCTAATGTGAAATTTGTTTTTCCCAAATAACAAGCTATCAAAAGTATTAAATCGTTTAAAGCGTTTGTTAAATGTAATAAAATTGTGTTTAGGTCTTGTGTTGAATTTTAATGATAGAAAAAACAGTTATGCTGTTGAAAGACATTAAATAAAAATAAGAAATAAAATTCAAAAAAATTAAAGAAAGAAGTTATAGGTATTTAACGTTATTATTTGGCGCAAGGAAGGAAAAATACCAAAAAAAATTATATACTCTTTGCTTGTGAAAAAGATCTCTTCGAACAAACAGTTAATTATTTTCCATCATATTAAATATCCTGGTTATAATTTATTACTGTTGTATTTAATTTTTTTACTGGTATTTTCCAGGTTTACGCATACAGCTTTCTCGCTCGTTACGCCGCTATAAACCTGGTGAGTGGAGTGGTTGTTGATATTCGGCCGCCTTTAGTGTCGTCGGAGGAATCTTTGCTGCAGAACTTTGTTTGGGGCCCGTCTGGCACTTCACTGTCCTTCGTTTACCTCAACAACATCTACTATCAGGCCAGCCTTACCAGCCCTCCATTGCAAATCACAACCAACGGACAGCTGAACGTTATTTACAATGGAATACCAGATTGGCTATATGGAGGTAAGTGCCGTTTATAATAATAAGTAATTAATTTATATGTATAAATAGTGTAAGACGTTGTAAAACATTTTCTTGCTGTAGCGTAACGGTGGATACCGTATATGAAGCAATAGAATAATTGAGGAGTTTAGCAGAAATGTTGCAGGTGTGTTAAAAATGGACATCCAGTTACCTCTCTGACAAAACACAGAAGTATAAATACTGTCACTTCTCATAGCTCTTCTGCAAGGCCGTGGTACTTTCCCTGTCAAGTTGACTTAACCGTTCACCAGGAGTTACGAATGAATGGATTTTTTCGTATGTTAACTTATGAAAAACACATGTTTTGTTTCGATCTCCAGAAAAAGTTTTTCTGTCGAACAATGCGCTGTGGTTCACCCCCGACGGTGGCAAGATAGCGTACGTGACCTTCAACGACACCAACGTGCGCGTAATGAAAATTCCGCACTTTGGAGTGCCCGGCTCGGTGAATTACCAGTACACTCAGCACCAGGGGATTCGCTACCCTAAGGTACGTGATATACAATTGGCAATAGCTTGCCAACGTTTTAACCTGCTTGGTTCTGTTTCAATGCTTTTTTTCTGGTAATTTTGGAAGTAAAGAAGATTTCAAAAGAAAAATAGTCATGTTCTATGATGTTCCATCACAATGTAACACGCTTTTATTTACAAAATTGGGTATGTGCTTAAAACGCAAAGATTTAGAAAAAGAATACTCCTTATAATATAGTTAGTACTTTATCTGTGTTATATTGTATATATTAAGTGTCTTGTGTAAAAATCGTTAACTTGGTACAACATAGATTTATGCAATTAAATGTAAATTCTAGGCGGGCACAGCCAATCCAACCGTGTCAGTCACGGTTCGAGAGCTTAGCACAGGGATCGAGTCTACCTACAACGCACCTAGTGACCTCAACGAGTAAGAGAATTATAATTATTGTTTAATAATGTCACATACTGTGGCAGAATTAAGTAAAGTTACAAAAGTTATAAGGCAAAAATAAATCAGAAAATAGCTTCAACTTATGCTGCTAAACTGAACTAATTCGACTGACAATTTACATTCTAGGTCCTCGTTGAAAAGTTGTTTTAACCAATGTTAACGCTTTCAGTCCTTAGACTATTAAAGCTTCATCGAACGCAGAACTCGTTGGATAGCCATTCGAGCCAGCCTATAAATTGCAAGTGTTTAAACTTTTGTGTTTCACTCAGTTACAACTAACGGTAGAGTTTTAATTAAAAGTACAAAATATTATGTATCCCGTCCTATGTCGGATTATGGGTTAATGAAGGAGTTGATCGTTTGGCAAATAAAGCATTTGGCATGGCTTTCCTACTGAAAGTTTACCTCAATCTTCACATCTGTATCATTTATTAAGGAATTGTTGTACTGAAATATGGACTGTCTATTGTGACGAGACATCTTGGACCAGAAACATTTGGCATCCAGCCCGGTGCATCTGTTTTCACGAAGTTCAGGCAACATTCTGGGCACATTTCCCTTAATACCTTTGCTTACCTAATGAAAATATTTGTATCCGCTTAATTTCTGTTTCAGTCTGTAGTCTTAACATCTTAGTGAATTGTATTTGGGATGAGTCAAAACAAAGTTCAATCTTGAATCACTTATTCGTGATTTGTGATTCTATTTAGGCAAATACTAATTCTCAGGAAATCAAATGAATGTACTAAGAGTACTCAATAATGTGAATGTTTATGTTTTGAAGTTGGTTTTAAGTGAATGGTTACTCTAAGATAGTATGAAGTGGTACCGCATATTTTGGTACAGATATTTTAAACGTGGTTGGCTGAAAATTGAGTTTTTTTTTATAATTGAAGAACATGGTTTACTTTTGTTTTTCTGCTTTAGTATAAAAAATATGCAAACATTTGTCATTCGTTTTTACTTTTTGGTCATACCTGTTTTATATTATTTCTAAATTAAATTTAAGTAAAAATACCATTTCATAAAACAGTTGTATACCAATCTTTACAACATCAAACATGTTACTGCTTAAGAGATTTTCCGAAAGACCGTTTTCCACCGCAGGCCGATTTTGAGGACCGTGAATATCATCAACAACGACACAATAGGCTTGATGTGGACTAATCGTATTCAAAACACACTTCGCGTTCAACTCTGCACCTTTTCACAAGCCAATTGTACTCAGGTAAGTATAAGTGTTTTTAATAAAATTTAAATACCTAATCTTTAAACCAAGAATTACTATAAACTTACAGATTTACCAGTACACGGAAGCGAACGGTTGGATTGGCAACATCCCTATTATGTTCAACGCAGCTGGCAATTCTTTTGTGACCATCCTTCCGCAGGTAAGCAATTACTAGTAATAGTTTAGTAATAGTTCAGATGTAATGTCGTACTTGTGACGCAGTTATATATTTTTCTGTATCGTTCTGTTCGCTTTATAGATATGAACGGATACCTTTTGCTATTCATACCAAAATAATATAAGCGTAAGCAACCACGTCTGTTACCCATATAGGAGAGAGATTATAACAAACACTTTGAGGTTCTATTTAATACTTTGATACTTTGACGGGAAAATTTGCCATGCGAGCATGCGGTTCACCTAATGTTAAATGACTACTGCTATCTAGAGAAATTTATACATAAGGTGTTGCGCATGCTTTGTCAACCTTTAAAAAAATGGGCACCGGCTAGCTTCCCTCACGACGTAACGCACAATGTGACTAATTTCTTGCACACTGTGCTGGCCTTAGTACTTCTTAGGATGTGGTTGTATACTGAGCTTCTATGAAATCTTAGTACTTTCAAGACGAGCCTGTCATTCGTGTGACAATGAAAGCCGTTGCATGGTCTTTCTACAGTTAATCTCTCTCTTTATATATCTACCTACACGGTTTTGCAAAATAATGAACCGCGTTTTAGAAATATGTTATACTTTTTCTAATAATAATAGCCTTCCATGTAATTCACGGCCTCCTGTATATTAATTTCTCACTTATGCAATATATTGTCTATATAATTTATGTAGTAGAGCCACGCAACAGTCTTCGCTGTTGCACGAGTAGGCAGGCCCGTCCGGGTAAGTACCATGACCTCACAGAAGACTGGCGTGAAGTGGAATTGTTATTCATGAATATGATTCTTCGTTTCATCTGATGAGTGAGTTAACCGGAGCCCACTTTATTAGCAATAGAAAGCAATAGAAGGCAAGGAATTTAGTAATAGAAGAAGGCTAGCATGAAAACGGTTCATTGTAAACAATATTTTATAGAATAAACCCGCTAACCGTATTTACTAAAAGAAATTCAAAAATATAAATACTTATATTTTGAGACTGAATGATGGCGTGAATTGACTAGTACCCATAAGAGCTCAGTGTCCATGTGCTGCTTTTAATTCAATATAGGAACTCAAATGGGCAATCTGATTTGGAATCCCGGTCCCGCACTGCTAAATTTTATTGAAATTGTAATAAAAAAATTGTACTGACTTATCACACTTCAGCTGAAGAAAAACATCGTGAGGAAACTTAACCATTTCGAAATAATGATGATAAATACATTACGTATACAAAAACATTTTAAGGATATGTGAAATCTGTACATCTGCGGTGGGGTGGCGTGGTAGTAAAAGATATTATGATGTTAAACGTTTGCATCCTCACTTGTAGAGGATGTCATTGCCCAGCAGTGAGCTGTAAGTAGGCTGATACTTTACTTTTATACTGGATTAACTGTTTCGTCTCGTTACAGACTGTAAACAACACTTTGTATAAGCAAATAGTTCAAGTTTCCGACGTGAATGCAAATCTGTGGACGGGCTCTGGACGCACGAACACACCGCATACAGTCACAGAAATTCTACTATGGGCAGGCGCCGACGTTATGTAAGCAATTTCTATGTGACTTTTTTATGTAAGAAGATTGCGAGCGAGCTGACGGTTCACCTGATTGTTAAGTGAGAACCGCCGCCCATGGAAACTTAAAACACCCGTAGGGTTACAAATTCGTTGCCATGTTTCAATAAAAATATATATAGAAAATATATATATAAATAAATATAAACATACATATATATAAAAATATATATATAAATATAAATAGTACTCGGTTACCTCACTCAACAGACGAAACGCAGAAGTATAAAAAGCTTCCACTACGTGCCGGTCTTCTGTCACCTCTTCAGAGCTCTGTCAGATCTTTTTGTTCTTATCTTATCCTTTAAACGAGCAATTCTTATATATATATATATATATATATATATATATATATATATATATATATATATATATATAATTGGAATCTCGGAAACGGCTCCAGCCATTTTCATGAAATTTAGTATGTGCGTAGATTCGGGGGCGAAAAATCGATCTGACTAGGTTTCATTTTTAGAAAATGTCGTTTTATCCCAGTTTTCAGGGAATGAAAAATATTATTCGAATACGACGGTAAATTTCACCGAAAAAAAAAATTTTATAATAGCTCGGTCGGTAATCGGGCGGCCGCTAACAAACAGCCACGAAACAAAAGGCCGTGGTTCGTATCACGATTTACACACTCATTTTTTTTACTTTTTTTTCGATTCCAGATCATTGCTTTCTTTTTTTTTAATTTTTTTTAAATATTTTAGGACACATTTTTACACAACATTTTTTAGTCCCAAACTAAGCAACGCTTGTACTATGGGTACTAGAAAACTGTTAAACATACTTAAACATACTTTTCTTTTGTAAATAAATACATATTATAGATATATAAACACCCAGACACTAGAAAAACATTATGTTCATCACACAATATTTTTCCAATAGTGGGGATCGAACCCACACCCTCTGGCGCAGGACGTAGGTACACTAACCACTACGCCATTCGGGTCGTCGTTTATCTGTTCTTTTTTGTCGATTTGTTATTTTTTTTAAAGTACTTTCTTTGTGAAAAACACCAGTTCATATTTTCTTATTATTACGTCGGTAAGATCGAAACATATTATGCATATTTCATTACTTAGTAATTTGTATCCAAATGTAATTTCCAAAATACACGATTTACCAAAAAAAAAAAACAACGGTCCTCCAGGTACTTTTAATTAATTAAAATTTTGTCAAAGTGACGCGTTCTTTATAACAATTCAAATGAGCAAATAAATATCTTTTAAAACTGGACTTATTGGCTTATACGCGGTTAAATGAAACTGTTCGGCAGACTATATCAGTTTTATTTTGTTTTTTAAAATCCCTTAAAATTTAAATTTTCAACACTTTATAGCTATCATACTAAGTCTGAGTTGTTACCTCCAGAAATTACGTGAAGTTAACACAGGCTACCGAAACTTAACTCGTTACATATTTATATATATCGAAGTAAATAAATCCTATGTATAATTTTGACAGTAGCGCAGGTGTTAAGTGTTCATAGCCGTGCAGGGAATTTATGATGTATGAATTAAAAAATAAACTCAAACGCCATTAAAACCGTAAATTAGTTTTTAACCCCTAAAATTAAGAAAGCCATCGTGGTCTACATGTAAGAAAACATATTTTCAACCATTTTATACGGCGCGTGATTCTTTATTATTTTTTTTTTTTAACAACATTGCCCTCACTTTAGGATAATATTATTCTGTGTTGTAAGGACGTTTTACAAACATAAATTACACGTTTAGGACAAACACCCAGATGCGAAACAACTATCTATGGGTCGCACAAATATTTGTCCCGTGTGGGAATCGAACCCACGACCCCCGATGCCGAAGCCAATAACTTGGCAAATGCGCCTCGGAGTCATCATTCCAAATGTAGAGGGAGGTGTGGTCAATGTCTCTTCTAATTCATGCGTTTGAAAGAGGATTTTATGTTTATAGTAAGGACATAGTTTTAATAATAATCTTGATTCGCAGCTGGTACAAAGCGACCCACGTGGACGATTCTGCCGAGAAACACGTCTACACTGTTAATGCGGCACGCCAGGTCCGCTGCTTTACATGTGCCATTTTACGGGCTGATGGTGGCAGGTGCTTGTACAACGACGCGACCATCAGCTCCGACAGCTCGAAGATTGCCATCAACTGTGCTGGACCAGACTTGCCCCAGATCTTCATATACGAATCCGTTAGTTACTTTTGCTATGTTTTTTTTTAATTATTGTGTTACATTGCCTGTAAAGCTCTCAGTCAATCAAATTTGATATTGTTTTACTGTAAATATGTCTTAATAAAATATGTATTAATTTAAATTAAATTTGCCAAGTTACGCGTGATATTGTTAAAGCTTTGTCTGGCAGAAGATGGGCCAGTACTAAAGACTTCTGGACAAGGAACATAACAGCAGTTGAAGAAGCCATTTCATTAGTCTACGCTTTTTAGATGTAGTTGTTTGCTTGTACTGTGAACGAATGGTTAAAACTTTTTTAATTTTTAAAAATGCGTTGAGATTTAAGTTTTTGTTAATAATAAATAAAAATTGTTACTTGCTGATGCTGATGGTAACCGTACTTTGTACTTAACAAGCATTTATTACTCGGAATTATTATGCGTAGCTTAATTGAGCAGTTATCCTAACCGAAAATATTTTCAAGCGTAATTAATTAATATTCCCAGAATGGCACCCTGGTCAAAACTTGGGACGACAATTCTAACACGGCAGCCCTGTTGGTCAACCGCCGGCTGCCAAGCACCTTGAGGATGAGCGTCCCCGTTGTCGCTGGACTGCCTGAAGCCGATGTCCACATCCAAGTTCCGCACAACTACCAGTCCCAGAGCAATGTTCCTTTATTAGTTTTTGTGTAAGTATATAGGGTGTTGCAAATGTCCATGGGTAGGCGGTTATCACTTAATTTCAGGTGAACCGCCGGCTCGTTTGCCACTTTCTCACATAAAAAAAAATTTAGGAGTCCTGGATGGGACAGGGAGAAGTAGATTGAACGTAACGAATGATAGACCAAAAGATTTTAAAGTCTCTTTATTGTTCGATCTTTATCTTTTGTCGCGTGATCTCACGAGTGATTGAGTTCTGGATTAAAGGAACATACGATAGGACGAAGAAATTTATTTGTGACGGTATAACATATTTTATTGTACTCTGTTTAACATATTATATTTTTTTCATTAATTTAGTCTTACCTAGTTATATAACCTTGTAATTGTTTCCTATGAGAACTGTACTAAACAGGAATTAATATAACTGTGGTAGAGCCAGGCAACTGTCTTCGCTTTTGCACAAATAGGCAGGTCTGCCCGGGACGACCTCACAGAAGACCGGCGTGAAACGGAAGTGTTATATCTCTGTGTTTCGTATGGTGCGTGAGGTAGCCGGGGCCCATTTTAAAAAGGTTGCAACGAATCTGTGATCTGGTTTTTACAAATTTTAACGAAAAGTTTTACTTCGCTGCTAGGATTTGAACCTGAAAACTTCGAGATACGCGCTCGACGCTCTTGCTAATGAAGTGCAATACCTTCACACCGCCGAAAATCTACTTTCTTTTTATTGCATTTTAAGGTATGCTCGGCGCCATCTAGCGTGTTTTACAGAAAATTTCCACTTTTTCGTATGAAACAGAACTAGACTAGCACTAAAATTTGAAATCAAGCCCTATCAAAAATTTATAGGTACGGAGCGCCTGAAACCGCCCAGGTGACCAAGCAGTGGACCCTTGACTGGGGCACGTCCTTGGTGAACCGGTGGGGCATTGCGGTTGCTCATATAGATGGCCGTGGTACGGGATTAAGGGGCGTTGAGAACATGTTTGCCCTGAATCGACGATTGGGCTCGTTGGAGGTCGATGACCAGATCACCGTCACCAGGTATAGGCAAAATGTTACTTATTACTATACTGCGTGTGTTTTATTCAAATAGAGACGAATACTTTCACGTATTAAGCAAAAACAAGTGAATCGATATATTGATTGCCATATGATATTATAGCCTATTCTAGCTTTGAGTGTTATTCTTTAATATTTTTTCAATAATACTCCTACGATAATAACTCCTACGATATTGCAAGTCCATTTAATGTATAGCGCAGCAGTCTTTGCTGCAGCACGAATGGACAGGTTCGTGCGGGGAAATGCCACTATCTCAGGGAAGACCGGCGTGAAGCTGAAGTGTTATACTTCTGCGTTTCGTCTGGTGAGAGAGGTTGCCGAGCCCACTTTATTTAAAGGTGGCAAATGCATCTGCAAATCTACGGGCGTTACAGATATCCATGGGTGGCGGTTATATATATATATTTTTTTTTTGTGAATTAACATCAGGTGAATCGCCAGCTCGGTTCCTTATCCGTAAAAAATATGTGCAGGATTTGTGTGATGTTTATTTATTTATTTATTTAAACTTTATTGTTACACCTTGAGATAAGAGCTACTCGGACTTAACGAAATTCTTTACCAGTCAATCCTTTTCATGGTGAAAAGTAGATGGCATGTGCTAACCAATGGGTAAATATAAGACGTAAATAAATAACTAACTAAGATGTAAGTAAATAAAACTTTTGCAGTTTATTGTTTTTTACAAGTGGATTGTGCTTTTAGGTATCTTCAACAACAGCTGCCCTGGCTGGACGGGAACCGCACTTGTATATGGGGCTGGTCCTACGGTGGCTATGCGGCATCGATGGCTCTGGCGCGAGGCGGAGACGTGTTCCGCTGCGCGGCTGCGGTCGCTCCCGTCGTCGACTGGAGATACTATGGTATAATACTTAAGTATTTATAAAATATAGCAAGCAAGCCTAAGTAAATATTTTGTAAATAATTTGGCTTCTGGTTAGCTATATGTATTTAACATGTAAACTTCGGTTCTAATTGTATGGGTATAGAGGATGTCGATACAGTATAAAAACACGTGACACGGTGGTTGTATGTAGATTCTTTGATTGCGATTAGTGCCCTAAGCAATTGGCCAGGCTTTACCTTACTTTTGGTCAATTCGAATTTAGATGATATTAGGATGATCATTTTTTGTTGAATTGGTTAATTGATTCACGTGGTCAAATTGTCAATAGCAACTGTCCGCCATAATGTAGGTTTCATTCCTTTGACTAAAAATAAAGTAAACTGAAGTAACAGCCTATATAAGCCACACTGCTAGGCAAAGGCGTCCTCTGTACGGAGGGTAATAATAAGGGCATAGGCCATCACGCGACCCCACAGCGGAATGGTTGACTTCATATATCTTCGGAATATTTTTTTGCTAATTAAATTATTATTTGGAAAATATGCAGGTTTCGTCACGATGTTCGCCTTTACAGCTGAACATGTGACAAGTGAGCAGTTAAGTCAGTTATGGTATTTAAGAATTCCACCTGGATTGGCACCTGGATTGGAAATTAGGTTACTTCAGTATATTGAATAAAAAGGGATAGCCCGGTACAGAACTATTACTGCTCAATATCCTTGACGAAGAAGAAAATTTTCTTTTGAAATCCGAGTGCAATTTATGTTATGTAAAATTCTGTGTAATTTATTGAGGATAATGTGGTCAACTTTTAGACACTGATTGTAGTTTCTAATAACCCGTTCAGTAGTGATTAGAAGCTGCTTCTGTCAGTTGAAAAGTCAATTAATTCAAACAATTCACGTTTCAATAAACGTAGTATGTGCAGAACTGATAAAGCACTAATATTTCTAAACAATAGCATCATTTCTGTTTTATTATAGATACTATTTACGCTGAAAGATACCTGGACACTCCGCAGAATAATGCTCAAGCGTATGCAAATTCGTCTCTTCTTACTCAAGAAGTTGTAAGTCATCATAACCTTTTTCCACTATTGCCTGCATTACAATTTAACATAATTCATTCATTAATCTGGCGTTTAATTGATTCTATAATGGTTTTATTCTTTTCGGTGCGCCTTATCTCCTTTAATATATAAGTTTGGAAAAAATACTCGAAAAGCCACAGTACTCCATTTTTTTATGCGAGAAAGTGGTAAATGAGCTGGCGGTTCACCTAATGTTAACTGATCGCCGCCGTCCACTGAATTTTGCAACGTCCGTAGGTTTGCAGATGCGATGCCACCTTTTAATAAAGTGGGTCCCGGCTACCTCACTTACCAGATGAAATGCAGAAATGTAACACTTCTACTTCACGCAGGTCTTCTGTGAGGTCGTGGTACTAACCCGGACGGACCTGCCCTTTCTGTAACAGCGAACACTGTTGCGGGTTCCTACCACAGTCCTACCGTTTAAATATGAGTAAATCTTTCAAATTGTTTACAATCAAACACATTTTCCTTTATTATATAGTCATTTTGAAATAGGACCACGCAATTTACCACTAATTTTATTTAAAATATTTTTCATTTAAGAAAAACTGTGTCTTCTTGTTTCTAAACTGTTTTAGTGCCTTTCAGTGTCTTATTACGATATTGATAAGAATAATTCGGCAATAATTTATTATAGACACATTTAAATATGGGATTGAAACTATTAATTTTGTCGTATCAAATGGATGCAGTAAAGATATTTGTGGTCACCTGTTTTTTCCTTTCGAATACGTGTATGAAAACAACAGCTATTGCTGACTGCTGCCATCAGTATAGTTATCTTTTCACAGGTCGAGGCATACCGTAACAAGCGTTACTTCTTGATCCATGGGACAGAGGACGAAAGCGTGCACTACCAGCACGCTATGCTGATCTCCAGGCTGCTGCAACGCCAGGACGTTTATTTCACGCAAATGGTAAGTTTGTCATAATCGATATTAATTATTATATTCATATTTATTCTATCACAAGATGATTAGGGGGGATGCTTAGGGGGCCTTAGTACTAATTTAGGCTTAGGCTATCCATCGCATTCGAAGCCATTGGTATACGAGATGATTTTTTTTTGCAATATTAAATACCTTAATTTTTTTTGATCTAGCCAGTTATTGACTTACTTACTGCAGCCATTAGTGTCCCACTGTTGTACAAATACCTCCTTCCATTTCTTCCACTCCTCCCTGTCGTGGGCTATATCAGACCCATCCCTCGCAAATGCGTCCAGTTCGTCGCGCCATCCCCGTCTGGGACCCATTCGGTATACCGAGTTATTGACTGCGTAAATAAAATTATTTTAGTCATTTCTTACACAGACCAACACAGGCCTACACGGGCCTACATTGCGGTTTAATGTTAGGTCCGATAATGGTCGAGCACTAGTAGTTAGTAATAAAGAAGCTAACCTGTCGACCCAATTTTGTAGCTTAATCCTAATTAACGTAAAATATACATACAGCTGAAAATGTAAAGGTTTGATGGGGCTAATAAATTGAGACCACAATTCCTTACGGGTCGTTCTGTAGTACGGCTTTAATTAGAGGACGGGTGATAGACTATGACTGACATCGTATTGAAATCGTTTAATGGTTCTTGTTTCTTGAAACTTTCACTTATGTTACAGAGCTACACCGATGAAGATAACTTCCTGAGCGGTATAAAACCACATCTGTACAAAGCACTAGAGAAGTTCCTACGTGAGAATATGTTGTAAAACATGAAAGACTTAGTACATTATTCAATTTAAGACAGCATATGCTGCGTTTACATATTTAACTGTCGTTCTACACTTCATAAATGAACTTCCGTTGTAATTTGCGCACAACAGTACAAATTGTTTTTTTTAATACGTATTGTTAATCTGTTAAAGCTCCTGATCGCTGTTAACGATTGGTAGTTTTCGTCGAAGTTCATTAACCAAAATGTTTTTGAGCAACATAAATTCTATCAAAAATATTTCTTGGCATGTTGTTTTGTTATTTAATCTACGCAGAGTGTACGGGCTTGATAATTAATTGAGTTACTAGCATTTAATTCTACCAAGTGTTTTACGAGAATTAAATTAAGACTACAAACACGCTTTGCCTTTTACGTGAGAATCGTATGATGTATGTAAATATGGTAAATTATGTAATACTTTAAGCGATAAAAATTACAATAAACCAGTTTTCTACAAAGTACAGTATTTTTATTATCGTTTTATTCCATACGTGATTATTTTGTTCAAAAATAAGTAGAGTAAGTGACTAAAATCGAAGTGAAGTCTAATTGTCTGTAAATTATTTTCACATGGTGAAAAAATTAAGAAGTGACTTATCATATATTTACTGTAACGTCCGTTGGATAGAAACAATAAAATATGTACGCCTTGGAGAAAGTTTAAAAAAATTATTTCATCGCAAAATTTCCATTTGTTACTCGTGGTTCCCTTAACTGAAGTATTTAAACTTTCTTTTGTCTGAATAGGGGAATCATTCTTACGAGGAATATATTCGTATAAAACACGATATTTCTTCACCGCAACACGCCGATCCAAAAGTGAGGACTATCCTTTCTCATTTTCGTTTCCTATTACCAAGCAAAGTGTATTGATACAAGACGTTGAGACACACTGCTTCGGTGCAAATACAAACAGACAGAGCAGAATATTTGTTACAGATATTTCTCTATTGACTATACTGGGATATTATTCGACACATCTTTTCTGTAGAATCTTAATGGGGTGAACAGTTATTGGGTTAGCTTGTATACAACGTGTAGTACACAAAGCAAAAATGTTAGTGTTAAGTTGTTAATGCCCAAAATTTTAGTTTGTAAATGTAGCATAAAAAAATATTTTATGTGACAAAATAAAATGTGACCAAAACACAACGTATTTGATATTGTAGAAAATTGATGAATTTGTGTGTGATTGTTACTTTATTCACGTGAAATATTCAGTACTGCTAAAGGAAATTCTATGGAATAGATAATGAGAATGAAGGGACAGGTCTAAAGTGTTCAGGGAATGTTTTATGTTAAAGTATAAGTAACATATAAAATTCCCTGTCCTCATAATAAATTCAAATTCGCGTATTAGCGACCATCACTGCGCTAGCGGACCAGACCTACATACGTATGTTCAAAATAATAATACTATTGCAAAGTAATTCCACTTAAGTGCAAGGCGCACTCTTTTGTGCTTTTTAAATCTGTACCAATATGCCTATGTATACGATACTGATTCATCTTCACTAATTACGAAACTATTATATGACATAGGCACAGATAATGTAGAATGAGGAAAATTTTTGCCTTTTATTAATGACTCGATGGCTCAGTTGCTAAACCATGGGCTTGGGCACCGGGGGTCATGGGTTCGATTCCTATACGACATCGGTCGTAATAAACTTACCGATACCGTTAACAACATAATTCACATGTTGTGTCGACCGCACCGCGGAGGAAAAAAGAGTTATTTTTTTCTTAATCGAAGCGAAAGAAGTCGTGCCTGTAATTTGTTTTCTGTTTTCGACGTCCGTATATTACAAGGTATGAGCACTGTTTGCGCGAAATGTTTTCGGCATCCATTTACCGAGACAAACATGTTTCACCGACAGGGGATCGATAGAGAGCCCAAATATTCAGAGCACCCGTTCTTTTCAGCGCTTCGTTATGCTTTGTGGAAATTGTATTGTTTTTACACACGTCTCTTGACTAGACCGTACTTTTATCGACTCTCGGGAAATATTTTTGGTAACTCGTAGGGTATGTTTTTATCAGGTATATCTACTCGTATATTTAGATTAATATGTACTCATTAGGTGTAGGTGACAGTGGTACAGAATGAAGTAGACACATTACAGGGAAAAAGTTAATGAAATAACATAAAATTTGTGAAGATAATATTATGTGGAGAAAAAAGAGAAGTTATTAACATGATTGATTAAAAAAAACTGAAAAGGTTAAACCTGTCAACATTACAAAGGAGGAACTTTTGTTTAAACGCGTTTAAAGAACGACTAAATTATAATTATTGTTATAAAGCGTATGTTTTGTAATATTTTTTAAGATGTTGGCAGAAATAGATTTTTTCAAAAACCATAATTTAATGCAAAATTGTTTGTTTCCTTAATAAATGCATGTTCCTTTGTAACTTAAAAGAAAAAAAAAAACTTAAACAAAGATGCGTATGAACAAATATTATTTCAAAGCTCCCTTTAAAACTTATATAAAGTTTAGAATTTAGAACATCTAAGAGTAGTACTCATAATTTCCACGTGTTCGTGAGTTTCGCTCGGTCGAGATAAGCGGTTTGGCTTACTTCCAAGAGGCGAATTTTCCATTTGGATGCAAATATTGAGCATATTATTTATTATGTAACTTCTAGTTACTCATGTTCAATATGAGATATTTAAGTGATCTAACAATTTATCTACAAGCAATAAAACTTTATTTTCTCCTAAAACTGTTAAGGTATGAAAAATAATAAAAAACACCAAATCACTACGCTAAAGGTACTATAATAGTTAGTGTTAATTTGTGTTTAAAGTAAGAACATCGTATAGAGATAAAAAAATACCACTAAAGATATTTTGAATGATTTAACTTTTTCCTAAATGTTGATAGATTTTTCATTCATAAAAATAGAATGATTACTGATCCGATATACTTCGAGAACAAAATCATGAAATAAAAAGTGAACAAGTAGGGTATTTTTTAGATTTATTGAAGGAAATAAATGTTTAAGATCTTAGGAGTCATTATCTTTCAGCAGGCGCTATACATTTCTATTTCTTTTTTAAATATTAACATTATACCGAGACCATTCAGTAAAAGACTTGCGATCAGATTTAATGTTTGTCTTAACAAATTAATACATATCCGCAGAAGAGCCTCGGAGATAAAGCTGAGGATTATCGTGAAAAATAACGGCAATTCTTCGACGAAGCTGGCGCACTATTTCATTTTCTTGATATATTCGAAAGCGATACTTTGCACTTAGTGAATTATTGGTTCATTGATAAATGTTATTATTAAAAGCAATACAAGTCTTTGAATAACAAATCTGTCACGAAAAAATGTAAAGGCTAATTGGATGATGCTGGGTGACTATGTGTCTCATCAGTGCAAGCACCTTGCCTCACGTCACCAGTGTCTTCTTGGTATCAAAATTCAACGCGTGGATAGAATCGGACAGGCAAATAGAATATAATTAAAATCTTGTAGAATTAAATAAATATTAACCTTAGATTATAAGAGTAAAAGGTATATTATGCATGATATCATTTTATTATATCTTCGTCTTTCAGCAACTTCGTCTTTTAATAACACGTATAGTTTATTACCGGTATGTACTTAGGCCTTATCTTCTAGACGTACGATATGGACGAGATGGACGGGCAGTTGATTTTTGTCATTTTACGATTAGATAAACGTAATACGTACAGATCTTTAGTGTATTCTCCGTTACTTAAACATTCAGAGCTATCAACTACGTAAAATAGATTCCACGCAATTTTCAAGTCCAAAACCAGTTTACCGATTTATCGTGTTTTTTTTATTAAATACTAATATTTGAGATACTGTAGTATATTTATATTCGGGAATTTAAAAAATATTAAATATCAATTCGTTTTATTCACAATCTGTATATTCATCGTCTTTTATATCTAGGTCAAAATGTTAAGAACTAAATATCTCTATTATTTCTTGCTCTTTTTCTTGTAAATTATTACGTAGTTTACTATCGGAATAACTTTTTGCTACAAGCGCTTAGCATAAATCTTGCAGACCGTAGACCCTTTTCTTATGAGCTGTTTTTGCCAATATCCGATACATCATCTGCTGTCATAAATATCAATTTAAACTTGACTTGAGAAAGCTTTATAAGCCGGACCAAAAACGTTCCTTGTTACGTTAATATATTTTCTTATATTCATGATCATGACTTTACATAGGTAATTGAAGTCTTATGTATGTATACATTTCAATTAGAAAACAATTGATTTAAAATGTTATTTTGAAAAGACCTATAATACATAAAATAGAGCACAAATATAGCATAAATAAACCAATATAATATACCGCAGCGGACAACACAATATATGTTATTACTATTATTCATTTATATTTTTGAAGTTATACTTATTTTGGCGCGTTTGGAATAAATCATGAGAGTAACATTTTTACGATGCACGCACATCGACCGTCAAAAGCGGTATGGTAGTCCACCAACATGGTAATTGACATTACCAATAATACTAAGTTTTTTAAATAAACCGTTATCAGCTGCATTTAATCTATTTACGCTAAAGAGCTCAACGTGCGTACATAAGTACACATATTTTAAAGTAGTATAAAGTATATTAGGATTGGTTTTACTTTAATATGCTGGTCTAGGATTCGCCATGTGTTAAGTTTCGCGACTATCTATTTAGGCTATAGTACTTTTGAATTACCTTTCTCTATAAAATACTGCGCGAATTAAAACGCATCAATAGAGCACCGTTATTTTTTTCGACTTGTTCGATTTTGTTTTCATTTTTTTTATCTGAGAAGGTGGGATACGGGCTGGCCGTTGACATGATGTTAAGTGATAACCGCCACCCATTGAAATTCGCAACTTCCGCAGGGTTGCGAATGCGTTGCCATCTTATAATAAAGAGGGCTCGCGCTACCTCACTTACAGACGGAACGCAGAGGTATAACTCTTCCACTTCATACCGGTCT